AATTATATTACATAAACACAATGTTTATGTGCATTAAAGAGTTAAATAAATAAATAAGATTTTTTTCAGATTTTTCCAGATTGACTATGACTCATTTAAGTAATACTTAATACCGAGTTTAAAGGTATCGATAATCGTTTTAATCATGAATTTACCTAGGCTAAAAATTACTAATAAAAATAAATAGAAATCAGATTATAAAATACTAACATCCCACCAGTAACACACTTTTTTAATAAAATAAGTAAGCTGTTAATATTGTTTATATTAGCGTTAATTTACTCGTATATTGGTTAGTGAAAGATTTTTTTTAAATACAATTAGTATTTTTTTAAATGTGTCCTTTACAAACAAAATCATTAGATTTTTTAATACATACGTATTACCTATAAGTATGTTGTATATTGCCTATACCTAATTTATGACTCTTGAACTGATAGTATTACACACGTGCATATCTACCTAATGACTGCGACATAAATAGTATGTACTTGTGTACCTATTATACTATATCTATTACATATTATACGCACCATTCAATTTACATTTATATAGTAGGCACTATCTATTTACACATAACTAGATACTTACGTACTATGTAGGTACTAACGGAAACTACCTTCCTCAGGTTAAAATCATTCTTTCGTTACGACGACACTATAAAAATATATTGAAAAATATTTTTAGCAAATCTTATTCAATACCTACTCATTACCAATACGAAAGAAAGCATCCGATAATAAATCGTGCACAAAACTATTAGAAAACATAGATCAACGTGAATAATAAGCAGAAGATATCTTAATTAGTAAAAAATTTACACCGTTACACAGATAGAGATTGGACAAAAAAAGTCATTGGAACGACTTAATAATTCACGTAGCTATTTCTTGAATAGTGTATTTCGAAAGTTTGTATTTGTGGGGCCGCTTAATAAATTACGATCAAGACCTCACATAGAGAGAATCTAAATACGTGGGCCATACCATGTTAAGGCCCCGCCCGAGAACGAGATACGTGAACTACCATCTCGCCCCCACATAAGGCCCTGTACCCATTCCAACAATTTTAACAACGTCGCAATATAAAAGGGAACCGGGGAATGTCTGTTTATTTAAAGGTCGTTTTGCAGTAATTTAATTAAGTTTTCTAATTAGGAGCGACGCCATTGTTAAAGTTCTCTATGATTGGTGAACATGTAGCGCTTCGTTCTCTTTTACTTCTAATACACATACAGAAAATATCTATAAAAAAATATAAAATATGCTTATGATTGTGATCTTTAGAGGGGTAGTCAGAAAAATTTAACAGTAAGTACAATCTAAGTATATCAAAGAGAATTATAACCTAAGTGGAGAACGTACATTCCAACATTTTTATCATAATTTTATTACACTTCATTGTAACAAGAAATGAAACTAGTGGTATAACGCCACTAATAAATACGATTAATTTGATTTATTAATGGTGTTTTCCATTATCGAAGAATTAGTCGATAATTTAAATTGACACGAATTTTAGTCTCTTAGCTTACGACCTTTGAGATTTATAAGTTCGTGGCTGTAATATTAGACCATGACGCTCTCTATTTATCATCATCATCATACTTTATTTATATTTGATTATATAGTACCTGGCTGTGTGGTCTCGGCATAGAATAAGTTAAACACTTCTGTAGCACTTCGAGAGTACAGTACACTTTGTTCGCAATAGTCTACAGACCATCTACAACAGCTAATAAATCTGAATCTACATTTTATCTGTAACCGTATAGCAGTAAGTATATTAGGTCGGTATTTTTGTCGTGTGGTCCTAGCATAGAATTGGTCAGCCTTCCTTGCCCGTGGGTGTCGTAAGAGGCGACTAAGGAAACTTAAAGATAGAGAGATGGACAGCAGCGTCCTTTTTAAAATATTTTGCCAACCCGCCTGCCAAGGGAGGAAGGGATTAAGAATTATCAGTAACGAGAATTAATAGGAACTGTAAGCAATATACAACATTAAGCTCCACGCGATACCTGAGTGGAAGGGATTGCTAGTTAATGCGGATTACCAGGCCCATTGCTAGCAACATATCCTATCAGGTCGACCTCCACGTGGTCCCCCTGAAAACTATCGTGCAAAATTCCAGGTTTATTCATTACGATGGGCTAACTGACCTACTTTTACATTCTCACCTGTCATTTGCCACTGGTGCACTAACTGTGTATATCGCTATCGCAGACGGGGCATTCCATTGTCATCCATAAAAAAATCTACACGCGGTGAGAGGTGACGGAGGGAGGTTAAAGGGATTGTTAGTAATGGGGTCTAACAGCCTCATTATTAGCAATTGATTATCAGGTCGATCTCCACACAATTACCCTTGGAATCCATTGTGTGATTATTTTTTGTAGAATTCCTCACTATAGGCTAACTCATAACATAACATTAAAAGATACGCCCGAATTGAGAACTCCTCCTTTTGTAGTCGGTTTAAAAAACATTTTATTTGTTTACACTATTAGTGACATCTGTTATCTAGTACACTACTAAAAAGTATGTTATGCTACTTGACAATAGATGGCAGAATAAACGTTGTTTGTTTTATAGATTTACTATAACGTGTCATCCTTCATGAAGTTTCTCCTATGAAGCAAAATATTAAATTTACTATTCATAATGTATGTATTCAATAATTTGCATTTGTCATCAATAATTATCACCTATTTTTAAATATAAAATTATTTCACACGATAATTACATTAGCTAGTATAGTATTATATTATCTGTGACATTAGTATTATTCAGGTTATTTAACATCTGTGGTCAATCAATCTCTCTATGTTATCTGTGACTTTAACAAATGTTCTAGCTTTAAAGTCATTTTACTTTTGTTTGTCAACAAACTGGTTTTTAAATAATAAACTTTTGTTCACTCGTGGTGATATAAAAATAAAAATGAATAATCAGTTAATAGAGAAAATAATTAAATCACATAATGAAATATGTCCAGATTTTACCTATAAAAATCCACTGCTTGATAGAAATGTAGCTCGTGCTCTTTCAAGAAGTTTAGTCAAGATCCTTAAGATATCTGAACAAAACTCCAACATTAATAATAATTTACGTCTGACTATACTTGAAAACATAAGGAAAATGTGCAAAATAGAGCCTGAAGATCACGTTAATGTAGATGAGAATGAAATGGAAACTTTGACTGAACTTTATCAACAACATTTGCTTGAAAATAGACCTGGTGAGTTCACAGAAAGGCAACTCGACGCTTTTTTAATACGGAGATTCAAATACTTAAATATAGATTCCATTTATGAGTCTACACTGAACCCAGAAATTATTCAAGCTTTAATCAATTTAAATGGCAATGGTGTCTATCTAGACATGCTGTCAGATGACATAATTCATTGGCATATTAAAAATGAAAATTATATGTGTGTCATAAAGGACCTGTGGAATGATAAATTACCTGCAGAATATAACAAATTATTTGATGATATAGCTATAAAAATGAAACCAGAAATAGAGAAAGATTTACTTGGTATTTGTCATACAATTTTAACAAATAGAGAACTTGATATTGAAAAGATATTTTCTGACAATGCTCATTTATTAGAGTTAATTAAGAAATGTTCATCACCTACTTGTTTCCAAATATGTTCAGGTGTACTGAATTTTATATTTATTATGACAAACTTTGATTCTTGTATACAAATATTTATACCATTATTTATCGAACATATCAAAAGGCAAAATCCTGGGACTACAACATCATTATATCCCCTGACTCTGAGTCACATAGTTCTATTAATGGATTTTGATGTTAACAGTTTACCTGAGTCTTTAAAACAAACATATGTTAATGCAACAGTAAATTATCTTCGTAAATTGCATGATACATCTGAAAACGATTTAATCTTACTATTGTCACACTATCCTCAATGGTTTGATATTTATTTCAGTAACTTACCATCAGAAGCTTAGAAATGTTTACCTTAATAATGTGCCTGATGAATTGACTGAGTCAAATATTACATGTTTTATATAAATAATTTAAATAATAAGTATTTAGGTGTCCACTTAGCCAATATGTCTGTATTATCAAAAACCATTGACCTGACCTTGCATTCACATGCATATCTACTGGTGGCTCAACTCACACAAGTAAACTACTTGATTTGTATTTAGTTCAATCATGACAGAGGTTTTTATTTTATTTGTTCTGGTATGGGTATTCATGGCTATTTAGATTTCTATAAAACAGTCATACCAAGTTAGTAGAAACAAACCATGTATATGTATTCACAGTCAAAAGTCTTAAGGCCTATATAAATGAGAGGCATTCCTTGGCATATATTGTTGTCTGTCTTAATAGACCAGTAGGTATCAATTAATAATTTCAGATTGCCAAAACCAGAATTACTCATTTAAAATATTTATAAATAGAATTGAACATTGTAGAATTCTAATTGTAAAGCTCACTTGCAGGAAAATTTATTTCATCCATGGATAAAGAGTTCCCAATGTCTACAGAGGCAAAATTTTGATACATTAAGTTTTTTTTTTTTTACTATTATAATAGTATACATATATAATTATTAGACTGTAATAAAGTTTATGATTTATAGTAACTAGATTTATTTTTTCTTTGAAATAATGACTGAATTAGGTATATATAGAAATTAAGTATAAAAATATTTCTATAGGACAGTAGTTTCTAAAAGGTGGATTTCCTGGAAAACTACTACCTGCATATTGAGCTAGATATTTCTTAAACACCACCAGAATTAACGGTGGGTATTTAAAAGAAAGAAAATGTCAGTTTATTATGTGATTATTACTTAAGTAATGTTTTAAATTTTAATAATGTTTAAACAGAAATATGTAAGTTTTATAGATTATATACCTATATAGTATAATGCTTATATTATAAAAGTTCATATAAATTATAAATAAAAAGTAATAAAATATTTTCTATTTATTTTATTAATAAAAACTACTTTATATAAAACATGCAAATCTTCTTTATAAAATTAAAACTTACTTTAAAAATGGTTACATGACACTTTCAATTCTGTTTTTCTTTTGATGCTTTTTTTTTAGACATTTAAAGGTTTCCTTTTATTTTAAGGTTAATTTTAAATTCATAGCAAATGATGTAAACTAATTAATTTATTCCTAATAATGTAACATATCTAAAGTTATGTAGACAAATATATATTTATACCATAATTTATATATTCTATCTATATACAGTCATAAAGATAACAGCCTAAAATAGAATATGTTTTTTCCCAAAAAAATAGCCCTCTTACATTAAATAAAACATAATGAAAAATCTATCTGCCAACATTAAAAGAATGAAAGGTGTCTTCAAAAATAATTAATAAAAAATCATAAATAAAAGTCAAGATCTAACAATTGCACATACATTATATCGGGATTAGTGCTGATAACAGTTAGCAGATTATCTTTTTTCCACTTTCGAGCCAGGTTTGAAGCCATAATCCTGTCTTTTTTCATTTCTTTATGTCGCCAACTGCGCATGTGGCGTTTCATGTTATCCCAATAAGCAAATAGTCGATTGCAAAATCCACAATGATACAAATCGTTACGAATCTGAAATTAGCAAAAAGAAAATAAGGCAAAGAAAAAAAAACGATTTATCTAATTCAGGACAGTAGTTGTGAGTTTTTTTTTTCATGTTTAATAGTTCATCACGAGCAGCTTTAATTACAAAGGAGTTTTTAACGGCTCAGTATTTTTCTTACGCAATGTTTTCGGCAATTTATTATGAACTTTTGATAATTCTTTTTTCAAACGAATCTTATTCTTTTTATTATTTAAAAATTTACTAGCATAACATAGACGTTAGTAGTTTTATAGGAAGCACTCTTTCACTAAATATCTGCTCATCTACAATTAATATAAAGTAAGCCATAAATTTAATAAAACTATAGATTCTAAACTGATCGAGGTATAAATCAAATACGAATAAAATAGCTTTATATAACATGCATTTACCTCTCTTATAAATTCGCCTCTCAAATATGTGACTACTTCGGTATCCAATAAGTTAGTCTTGTGTCTGATAGTTTTGTAATGCTCTATGGCCTCTCCCTGTTTATATTCTACATCACATGCGTAGCATTTAGTTTTCTTATAATATCTTATGGGTGCAATGAGAATAAAACTATATGTCTTCACACTTAACTCCTCGTTTATCCAGAATGATCTCATAGCGTGCGAATAAAATATGTTTTTTAAATAACTTTGCAATGATTTTGTGTTGCAATCTGGTTTTTCGTGCTTCTTACCTTTTTTAAGACCTTTAAACTCCAAATGACCCTTATGTATATGTCCTCGTGTGTGTTCCCTAAATACTTTTATGTGACTAGACATATAAACGTGGCACAAGTGACAATAACCTTTGGCACCAACTGGTGTTAGTGTAATATAATGTTGTTTACCATACAAAGACATTTTATGCCTACGTTTGCCATGGTCGATTGTTTCGCTAAATCCTACCTCCGATGCTTCAGAATCACTAGAATGAACATTGCCTGCAATGATTTCCAACATTTCTTTCGAATCGTCTATATCACGTAACTCTTCTGCATGTTCTTTTTGATGATTCAACATTTCTCTGCCTAGAAAAGGAATAATTTTATTACAAAACTTGCAGGTTGCCGTCTTGTTCTCCAAATTTATGTCATATACTGTTCTTTGCAATTGCAGCAACTTTTTGGTTGTTTCATTAGCACGGTATATTTCTTTGCTTGTTTTGGTTTCAGTCGTTTTAGACGTTGTTGCGATGCTGGAGGTCTTGTTTGCACAATGTTCCACGGAGTTCCAGTGATCATTAAGATCAGATGTACCTACTATCGTTTTACAAATAAAACAATAATTGATATCTTTATTTATCTGAAAATAAAAATATTTATAATTAGTAAGTAGATACGATTTCGGCATTTGTTGTTAGGTCCAGTCATTTTTCATTCTTAAATTCAAATGTCATTATTGGATCATCATCATCATATCAACCATTATTTGTCCACTGCTAAACATAGGCCTCTCCCATAGAACTCACAAGGAACGAGACCGGTCCTTAAGTTAGTTTACAATTGGGGGCGATTTTCTAGTAATTGCCAGGCTTGGCAGGCGGGTTTGTTTTTTGGTCATATTTTAAGAGGGATGCTGCTGCCCATCCCTCGACCATTAAGTTCCTTAGTCGCTTCTTATGACACTCACGGTAAAGGAAGGGATGACCAATTCTATGCCGGAACCGCACGGCAATTATTGAATAATTATGCCTTGTTTATTGCCATCAACTTTATTTACTTATATTTATTCTCAAAACGAATAGAATAGTAGGAAACAGCCTCCTCCATTCTGAATGGGTTATATTGATTCTATTTTAACCAAAAGGATTTTACTACCACATTGTTTTTGTGCAAATTTTGTTAACAATACAAATCGGGGGTTTATTTTATGAACAATATCTTAAGTTTTATTGTTAAAAGTTTCGTAAGTACCTACATATTATACGAGTATATTAATGTAATAACTGCAGTTTTAACTTACGTGTATTTTTTTAACCAAAAGGGTTTTACTACCACGTTGTTTTTGTGCAAATTTTGTTAACATTACTAATCGTTTTTGTTTTTGATGAACAATCTTAAATTTTATTGTTAAAAGTTTCATAAGTACACATTATATATTACTTAATGTAATAACTACCGGTTTAACTTACGTATATTTTAGTCGAAAAAGCTCATCTAAATACCGTACCATCTAATCTATACTTATAATAAATCTGTAGAGAGGTCAATTCTGTACATGAAATATATTTCCAAAATAACTATTAAGGGGTGATCGAAACTGATGCCAAAAATGCAATCAGTAAAATTTTTGTCTCCCTGTCTGTATGTTCGTTATAGAAACAAAAACTACTCGGCGGATTTTAACGAAACTTGGTACAATTATTCTTCATACTCCTGGGACCAGTATACTTTTCATCACGCTACGATCAATAGGAGCAGAGCAGTGACGGAAAATGTTGGGGAAACAGGAGGAGTTACTTCATTTTTAAGCTTCCGTCGCGTGTGAAGCCTTAATGGCCACTTTTTAAAATTTAAAAATGTCTACCTGTGCGAAGCCGGGACGGGCCGCTAGTAATTTAATAAATAAGGGACCTGATGGTCCGGTAGTAGGTAAACCAGTAGTTATTATACTAAAATATTTTAAATTATTGACTTTACTTACCTTCCTATAGCATCTACCTTCATTTTCCAATATTACGCGCGCTTGTATTAATTTTATGAGATGATCATGCAAAACTATGTGTTCGTCTGTGCGATTTAAATCAACAACAGTATCGCACAGCATGCAGTGTGTCAGATTCACAAAAGTGTTCCATTGACGAATGCTTACTATTACATTATGGACTATTATAAATCCAGTATCCACATCTCGTTTGCATTCTACAAGTTTGGGAATAACGGGGGTTTTAGATTTTCTATTTGTTTTATGTTTTTCCTCGTTCAGGTGAGCCATAATATTTTCCATATCTGACGTTAAATAATTGCATAGTTCGCAATAGAAATTGTTTCCAATCTGAAATATGTTGGTTATTAAACGGGTTATATATTATAATTGACAAAAATTATAATTACGGATAGACAAAACGTATGTATTGAAGAACTATTGGTACTTTAGTCTATCTTGCTACCCTATAAGGCACAAGTAAGACATCGTTATTCGTAAAATGTTATATTGTAAATTATTACCTACTTCTATCCCAGTTGTCATTATAATTCTAGACTTACAGTTTAGGATCACCTACTTAAACTTTTCTGCTAAATATCTTCAAAGTATGTTCCTGTTGAGTTGCCTGCATATATGCAAGACGAGGGAGACTTTGTACAAAAGTCGATTGCTTGGGTACCTCTGTCCCATTCGTGTTTCAACCGTGAAGCAGGTGTGTTTACATGGCTGTGTTTCGGTTTGAAGGGTGGGATATGCTGTGAATTTACTAGGTACAGAGGAATAACACCTGAGTCCTCAGGAATGGCAACGCATAGTGGGTATCATGGGCGAAACAGTATACTCTGTTATGTCCATGGTACTGCTCATGTCTATAGGCGACGGTTACCATTTTCCATCAGGTGGACCGTCAGCTTGTTTGCCATTCTAACTTGTATAAAAAAAAACGATTGTTACTAACAGGAAATATCCTTATTGCTGGGAAACTAACTGTCAAGTCAATCTTTGAGCGGACACCTCTGAAACTACCTAATTTGACGTCATCGTGATGAATTCACCAGGAATTGGATGGTGACTGCATTCTCATCTATCACTCACTCATACACTTGGTATTCCACTACCGTCAAGCAATAGCGCAGGTTAGGGGAAAGCGATCGTTAGTAATGGAGTCAAACAGATTCATTGCTAGTAATATACCCTATTTGATCTATTTCTACGCGGTTCCCCCTGGAAACCATGGTGGTTAATTCTCATTGAATTCGTCACATGGGCTAACTAACTTGCTCTCATCCCCCTTGCTTGGTGCCCCACCAGCGTATACAAATAGCGCTGGCGGGATAGCTATTCAATTTTTAGCCATTAAAAAAGTAGCGCAGACAGGGTGTATAGTGATACCTACTATTTTCATCCATTAAAAAGCCTGCTTCGATATTTATGTCAAAATATGTTGTAAAACATTTTCAACGTTGACGGGTCAGCCGCCTTGTATTTATTATAAATTCTCCACTCAACCTTAAAATTTATGATTTCGGAATTAAAAAATAATTGTACAAACCTTATAAATCGAATCTTGTTTAAGTTTCGGAAAAAGAGTTTGTCTTTTCATTATTTTTCTGTGTTTTTCCCATCGGATGTGTTTTTCGACATCTTCTATATTTAAAAATTCTTCTCGACACACTATACAAAAATATTCAAGTTCGCCGTATAAAATGAAATTTTTATGGTATTTGAGCATTGTGCTTAGTATTTTTTGGCAAATTAAAAATATTTTAATGTAATGTGAACGTTGATGTCTTAGATCTGTACAATTTTTAAGAAGTTTACAAAATAAAAATTTGAGGGTAGGTAAAAAGATTAAAATATGGCCTGGTTTGTACCTCTGAAATTTATTTCACTATGTTTTTCTGGAATGGAACACTGACATATCTACTGCATTTAAAAAAAAAAATGTGATAATTGGTGACCGATGACACCAATTATTATAATTTTTTTAAATTTTTTCATTGAATCTGAATATCATTAAGGTAAAGAAACTTACATCTAAGTTTACATGAAACTATTTTTCGTAGTTTTGAATAAGTACTTAAATATATTATACATATTTAGTCTTAATACGCGGGTAAGTTACTCGTATATGTAGCAATTTCATTCAATTAATTATTATTATTTATTTTAGCCATTTAAATTTTATTGAGTAACATAGAAGTATCCAACATCTTACAAACTTACACATTTATATTAATATATTAGGATATCATCACTACATAGTATAAAACAAAGTCACTGTCGCTGTCTGTCTGTCCCTATGTATCCTTAAATCTTTAAAACTACGCAATGGATTTTGAAGCGGTTTTTTTAATAGATAAAATGATTCAAGAAGGTTTATCTGTATAATACATGCATAATATTGTAGAGAAACACTGATAAATTTAGAGGTTTCTAATGTTATGTCGTAAATACATTTTTTTGCGCTTACATTGCAAACGCTGGCTGAACCCCACGAGATAAATCAAAATAATATACTACGGTATTGTACACCTTAAAAAGGTTAACAAAAAAGATCTCGATGGTATATGTCTAACTCTTAAGGATAACCCACAATAACCATTTTATATCATTTATATTTTACGGGAAAAAATGGCTTATTTACGAAGTGATTTTAAATAATACAGCATTAAATTTTATCCAATTAAGTACCTTAAATACATTGTCCATTTAATATAGATCAATATGGCCCTTTACAGCATGTAATTTAAATGAATATTTCCGAAGATATAGATTTAAAATGCGGACACATAACGAAGCGGCGGTACCGGCCCGGCCGGCACGGAGGGCGCGTACCTATAAGTAGCGCGTCGAAGGTCGCACTTCGCACTATATCAAGTTTGTATTGTCTAATGACAAAAAGGCTGTAAACGTTGTTTATAAGTTCTTTCTGTAGTAGTTAGGTAGATATATTTAGTATTAATATTGCACCCGTACGAAGCCGGGGCAGGTCGCTAGTAAAAATATAAATCTTAGGCTATTTCAGCAGTGAATAGTTACGGCTGATATAACGACTATAACATTAAAAATATTTGAGAATAATGGTATGATGTAACTTAAGACGACGTAACATATTGGATTCTAATATGACAGATTGTAAATTAAGAACAAAAGTTTTTTTTACAAATCTAGGGACCCATTTATGGTCTATTGGTAATATATAAATTTAATTTCAGTAACATTAATTCCAAATTCGCTTAACAACTCTTAAATCCAACCCATAAATCTAGTCAAGGCAATGAAACGATGATTGACAGCAAATATTGCCAGTAAATATAATGGGCTACAAAGAAATAATACAAATAGATATATTTCTTTAAACGATTTTATAAGAACTTTTTTTTTATTAAATATCTAATAAGCCCGATCTAATAAATATCTAATTATCTAATTAATTTTGCATTAATTTAGATGAGATTATAAATTTTACTCTGTACTTTTTGTCATAGCATAGAGTATGTACAGTTTATGATGGCTTTTGATTCACGTCAACTTGAATAAAAAAGCATTAATATAAAATCTATGTAACCATTTTATTGTATTTGAAAATTTGACACTATATTACAGAAAATTTTATTAAGAAATTGATATTTTCGAAAAAGATGTATATAATGTATAGTATATAACAGCATAATATTGATATAACTTTGAATATACTTTTTTTATGTTGATACTTCTAGGTATTTGCATAGATGTATTTTGGTTTCATCGATATATAAGTAGTGTCCACTCTCCTTGTTCTCTCATATTCACTCTGTGGTCTACCGCTTCTCTTTTTAATTTGGTAAACACGCTTGGGTTTCTAAATTCCTATTCTTCTAGTTTTAATTCAGTAATTTCATTATGTGGAAAATAAATGTACGTATATAAAGTGTGTGTGACTTATTTCAGTAAATATTTTATTAATATAATAAACGTTGTTTTTAACATGGTAATGACGTGAGAGTTTTCTGTTGGATACTTTATATTCTCGAGAAACTTCACTTACTGGTATTTGTGCTAGTAAACAATGAGCAAGAGACGACGTGCCTCTTCCGTGGCCAGTCGTGGAGCTGATGACGATAGTGATGATGGAGCGGAGTTAAGCAACCCTGTACCGCCTCCATCGTCTCGAAAGAAAAAGAAGCTGGATCCTGTAAGTTCTCAAACTTGAAATTAAAATTGGGGTTTGTAAGCAAAGTCTCTTATTTAATAGTATAAGTTTTGGTAGAAGAGACTGAGTATTACTTATAGTAACAGGTGGAGTTACATACATAAATCATAGGTTTAATTAATGTTTGTATTGGTAGGTGTAACAAACTGATGGTGTCATTTAAGTGTACAAATGAAATAATTTATAAAAGTATGATGATTTGTATAAAAAAAGAAAATAAAAAATATATTATTTACATAAAAGAATATTCTAAAAAATACCAGGTTAACTAATTTGGATTGTTAAAACCAAACCTGCAACCCAAATTATTCCATTAATATTAAAATCAATTTTGAAACCAAAGCTTTGCAATACCAACCTGTCCGATTAGAGTAATAATCTCCTCATATTCACAGAGAGGTGGGTTCGTCATAGGTTCAAATCCTGCACTGGACAAAAAGGTATATTGATATGCGTTTTGGGTTTGGGTGTGTGTTTTTGGAGTGTATCTGTCATCCTTTTTGGGTAATTTCTTTATTTGATTAATTATGATTAATGAATTATATTTTTTTCAGGGTGAAATATGTCAGCAACTGTATGACACTATAAGGTCATATAAAAAAGAAGATGGTACATTGCTATGTGACTCCTTTATTAGAGCACCTAAGAGGCGACAAGAGCCACAATACTATGAAGTTGTGTCACAGCCTATTGACTTGTTGAGGGTAATTTTGTAGACTATTTACTGTAAGAAAATTAGTAATCCCTATAAGTAACAATAATATATCATATATAATATATAATAATCAGGGAAAAGATTTTCAATTATTCTTTATTTAGTTATTATCAATATATTATATGGTATTGCCATGTATTTATAATATATTCAGATTTTGATATTTTTGTAGAGTTTATTAATTAAGGAGTTTATTGTGATCTTATATTAATTTTGTCCTTATTCAATAATATTTTTAACAGATGGATTTCACTATAAAAGAGATTTTCATTTGAAATTCTAGTGTATAATAGAATTAATAACACAAAAATTAAGAATAATTTGAAATATTAAAAGATTTTTTATATATTTTTTATTTCACATATACAATAACAGTAGGCTTTGTAAATAAGCATCTATAATAAGTAAATAAGCAAGCTAATATTTTTTTAGAGCCCTCCATTTTTACTTACTTTTTTTACACTTCTCTTACAATTTGTTAAAAAGCAGAAGTGACACAATTTTATTTAAATAATAATTTTCTCTGAGTCTTCTTCTAGCCCTATGAAAGTCTCAAATGCCCAAAAAGGGTGTTATCACTCATATTGAGAACCTATGGTTTAGTTGATACATTTAATAAATTGATTGCAGGTTCAACAAAAATTGAAAACTGACACATATGAAGATATTGAAGAGTTATCAGCTGATATAGAGCTGCTTGTGAACAATGCAAAAGCTTTCTACAAGCCAGACTCTGTGGAATACAAAGATGCTATTGAGCTGTGGAAACTGTATGGCCAGAATAAACAGGCTCTGGAAAATGGTAATATTAATAATTTGTCATTATATGTGTGGCAATAAATATGTTGCTTTACAAAATGAGCTCCCAGATCGAAATTTTTATTAGACATATATGGTATCTCTTATACTCATACATGCATGAGATAGAATGTGATACCAATATTTGTTATCTTATTCTTTCTTATTGCATATTTTCTCATCTTACAGGGTAAACTAGTTTGTAGGTTTCGGTTAGGTCTATTAATTTTTATAAAAAAATTCTGTCATAATTTTTTGTTGCTAGTAACATTTTAATAATTATATCTTCCTATAAAAATTTTTTACAAATCCCTTTAATGAGGCATGTGGCACATCCAAAAAGTGTATGGCTAATGTAATTTTATTGTATATAACAGGTGAAGAAATCAAGACTCCAAAGCTATCTCGCAATGGATCTTCCAGCCGCAGATCAGATGTAGCTGAGGATCTATCAGAGACATCTACCAATAATGAAGAGGATAATGTATTTGAGGAGTTATTTAATGCAGTAAGATTTTCTTTTTTTTCATTTCTCAATCATTTAACTAAAAAATAAGTTTTGAAACAATAAGACAAACCTGTCCATACTAATATACTTAAAGATTTTATTTTCTGTGTATTTATAAAATATAAAAAAGAATGTATAAGTATTAATGCATAGATCTCTGTTCTGTTCATATGAGTAGAACAATAAATTACTATTATCATATTAGGCAGTTCAGTACAGGTTTTTATTGCGTATTTTTTTTTCTCTTGTACTGGTGTATTGTCCTAAGTTCAACCTCATGTGATCTGTGTCACCATTTGGATTAAATTTTTTCTCGTTCTAGGTAACCATTTTTTTTATCACATTTTGTCACCACATTTGTATATTTGTTATATTTGCAAATATAACCTTGCTATAATTACTGTTCAAGTTCCATGTAAATTTTACAATACACTTTCTAATATTACAAACAAAACTGAAAAAGAACTTGTTGGTGGCTTTCTTTTGTTTCTTTTATTTCACTTTGCATAAATCGTCACATGCAGTGGTTGTCGGTTCTTTTATTTTTAATTGATTTGTTTATTAGCAGTTATTATTATATATAAGTAAAATTGATTTTGTCAATCTTCGTCGCAGACTTTTATTTACTCATTTATTGATTTCAAAAATATTAATAAGTCTGTGAAATATACTTTTACCCTTTACACTATGGTATTACTTATGTAAATAAATAGAATTTATACATGTTTATAAGTGTTAAAATAATGTTATTACTTACTCAAATTGCTCATCATTTCACAGGTAATGACTGCTAATTCGGATGGTAGAGCTCTTTACCCCGCCTTCCAATTTCTACCATCCAAACGTCGCTATCCAGAATACTATAACGTGATAGACAACCCTATAGATTTGAAGACCATTGCACAGAAGATACAGGGTGGTGAATATACTAACATAAATGAGTTAGAGAAAGACTTACAACTGATGGTGCGTAATGCTTGCCACTTCAACGAGCCTGGTAGTCAGATTTATAAAGATGCTAAAACATTGAAGAAGGTAATATTTTTTAATTAATTTTATCTTTAGTAATCCTGCATGTTTTGCAATTAGTAATTTCTTAAAAAACTAAAAGGTAATACGATATATGCATAACCGTATTTCCAAGTGTTGTAGATGAAATGCTAAAGCATTGTAACGTTAACACTTAATTAATTAAGATAATTTTAAACCGATAAAAACATACATATGATTTGAGAATCTCCTTCTTTTTGAAGTCGGTTGAAAAGAAAAAAAATCTAAGTATTTTATTTACAAACTGATTTTGCTAAATCCATGCACTGTCATTTACTCTTCGTTTAGCATAACGGTAGACTGGTAGAGAATCAGGCATTAAGTCCGTCTTTAGACATATTTTAATGTGTGCAAAAGTATAAATAAATAAATATATATGCAGGTGATCCAAGTCCGCAAACAAGAGATTGATCAACACGGCCGCAGCGGTCCCGCTAAGACATCAGAGCGTATTCGTAGCAAACGAACCTCACGCGTGGGCCCCGTGCCAAACAGTAAAGCGCTAGCCATTATGGAGCCACCCGGCTCCGACACAGAGTCAGAGCTTAAGGTTGGTATTAGAAAATATCCCTATTTTGTATATTTTTATTATCTATGCTCATATTTATTGTTTCATCTTTCCATGGTTTTTGATCTTGGGGAACAATACCTATTTTCAATCTTTTTTCAAGATGGAATATTCTTAGATTATATAGATAGAGCATCGAGTCCCAAAAAAGGGGTCAACTTTTTGTCAGCTAATTGTCAAATTAACTGGCTCGTTTTTTTATCAGTGTTCTAATACTTACACACAATGTATCTTGACGTATCTATATTTAAATATTTCATAAATAAAACGAATTTATACGCATTAAAAACATGTAAAAAATTATAAAAAAAAATAAATAGAGAAACTATAAAGGAAACTTTTTCATACAACTTTTCGTGATAAATAATTATCTATTTATCACGTAAAATTGTATGAAAAAGTTGACCTGCTTTTCTCGAAGCATTTGTATGGAGACAGTATCTGTGTAATCTAAGGCAATATATAATACATTACACAAAAATCTTTTTCTAGCTATTGTTTATTTTATGTATAGTTATTTGAATAATGGTTTGTTCACTTAATATGAATGTCAGGTATACAAAAATTATACTCTATTACCTGTTTTCTTTATTCATTCATGTTAGCAAAGAGTGTATTTACTACATCGTAAAGCATAAACTTTCCTTTGATGAATATACTGTATATTTCCTACTGCGATGGGTTTGCGATACTTCATCAAAAAGTTATCAAGTAAATTAGTGTGTTTCATGACATTTCATATTGCTATGTGTAACATAATTGTATTGTTTATAGCATTCCGAAGATAGTGGCGGTGAAAGTGGTGAAGAACATATTGAAAATGAAGACTCCCCACAATGGAAGCTTCTAGAAACAATTAAGAATCATTTGGGACCTAACGGTAATTACTTTTGTATATTTTTACTTACTGCTATAAATTGTGTGTGGCGTCCTTTAATGGCAAGAGTTTCTAGACCGCCTTTGTTGTAAATGTATGTGACGGGATGTATCAGACGATGTTTTTTACTTAGCTTTTAAACTTTTGAATTCATGGAACAAGAAGCAAGTGACAATGATCCTAATATATACGACAATATTTGTAAATAAATTTAAATTGAAATATAGTACTTAATTTTCACTTCACTTTTTATTATAATACTTACATGCATGTTATGAATAATTTATTAAATGATCCGAACTTGAAATAAAGAAAACATATATTCGCGCAGTTAATATACAGTTAATTATAGATAAACATTAGTTGTATTTTTTTCGTGTGAACAATTAAAAAACCTGTTTCTGTAAGAACTATTATGTAATCAATAACTTTCAATGTTAAATATTGTAATTATAAATTTAAAGCCAAGGTAGTTGCGTTGCACCCACATTCTAGATTAGTTTGCATGTGAAAAATGCAGTCTCTTCTCTCTTACAATAGTCGACTGTCACAGGCACTCCAATGGCAGAACCGTTCTGGAAACTTCCTTCGCGCCGGGCCTACCCAGACTATTACAAAGAAATAAAAAATCCAGTCTCCCTCAACCAGATTAAGAACAAAATTAGACGTGGGGCTTACGGAACCTTATCCGAGGTGGCCGGGGACATGAATATTATGTTTGAGAATGCCAAACAGTACAATGTACCTACTTCAAGGTTGTACAAAGACGCTGTCAAGTTACAAAGGTATGTCTCTATTATTTAAAAACAAAATTACTCCAATAACAATTGCACTATACTTATATGAATATTTAAGTCATCATAGTCTCGATTCGAGCTTTCAGCATGCTAGTGAATTGTTTTGTTTATCGAAATTTATTTTAAACTTTAAAAAATTGCGTGTTTGCACACTTTGAACTATAATGTAAAAAAGATTATTGCTAAATTGAACGTTAAAAACCCGTTTACAACGGGTATAGCTTACCTTCTTCTGAAGATTGAGATCCAATAAATTTCTTGCTAGTTATTAAAATTCCTAAGAAGACCTCTTAGGTTTAAGGTTTGTATGTCGGTATATATATCAACATGTACATGGTAAAATACACATGTTACTAATGCTTCATAGTCAATGGTGTTTGCTTACATACAGACATGCCGTATGGATTAATCTCCAATATTGTACGTACAATAAATATATAGTCAAATACAAATATTTGTCTAGATTAATGCAGCAACGTGTACAAGAGTTATTGGATATCGTGCAAAGCTCATCCAGTGACGACGAAAGCCTTTCTACAGTGAAGAGTCAGAACCAAAGTACACCTAGACCTAGAGGTAAGAAATGAAATATAATTATGTATGTATATGTATATCTACGACTTGTCGAAGAGCTAGTCAGAGGTGTTTATGAGGTAAGAATTCCGACTTGCGTTACTACGAAAACTCCATTCATTTAAAACTTTTCCAAGTTTGGTGGATAAACTATGGTACACAATTCTATAGCGAAACACTTCATACTGTATGGGAATTCTAAAATGTATCTAATTAAATTTAATTTGTTTCATTTTTTGTTTTTATTGTCACTTGCTTTATGAATCGGAGGGTATGAAATTTGTAAAAAATCCCCGTCAAAGATTTTTGTGTACTTACAAGATGACTTACACAATTTTAGACATTAGAGGGCGCCACCCTCATAGTTCTAGTATTAATATATTAGTATACATCGATTATAAACAATAACTGCAGATTTGAATTCATACAATTATCAAATTCATACAAAGTTAAAAATCGATATATTATGCGATCTGCTAAGCACAAACATAAAGGAAATGTGTTTAGATAATTTTATGTATATGCCTTATGTTATAACGATAGATTAAGTCATGAAGGTGACAAGACGTAACAAACAAATTAATTTACATTCACACACATGAAATTACTAAAAATTATTGTTTTTGCTTTTTGTCGTTCTTGTACCTCTCATATTTGTCTTCAATATCTCTCGTGTACAGATTTTTTTTTATACAACTTAGAATGGCAAACAAGCTGACGGCCCACCTGATGGGAAGTGGTAACTGTCGCCTATAGACATGAGCAGTACCATGGACATAACAGAGTATACTGTTTCGCCCATAATACCTCCCATGCGTTGCCGATGATGTATGAACTTTTTCATCCCATTGTTGTCTTAAATATAAAAATTGTAAACATGTATTTTAGTTAGGCTCGAAACTACTGAATGGATTAATATAGATTTATACCATATCCTAAACTAACATCGTTTATTTATCTCCTGGTTCAATTGACAAAGTAGATTAATCAAAATAAGCTTATTCGCATACTTAGCGTATGTAATTTAATCTGTCTTATCAGATTCGCAGAACTCGGCAATTATAAGATGCCAGTTAATCGTATTAATACTTCTTAGAAATGAAACTCCCGTTATGTCGTTACTGAATTGTTATATTTTGCATTCCATTATCATTCTGTCTAGTTGTCTCCTTTTGACTGTGAACTATTTATTTATATTTTATATCATTTCAAAATAAAATTATAGTTCAGAATCAACAATATGTGTTCAGGTAATATATGTGGGAAGCACTTTATTTTCTTGTTATTTAAATTATTTATTTCATTTTTTTTTATGTTTTTAGAGACATTACAAAAGTACGAAAGGAAATATTATGTGGTGGTTATTATTAGGTGATACTTTGTCTTTTTGTTTATTTTTATTTGTCAATGTTCATAGGAATTATTTAGATATTTTATAACTTTTCTAAAACTAATTGTGTGAACATGAACAAGTTTCATAAATATTCTTTATAATTTGGTAAAAAATTCCGATAGTTTCTTTTTTGTTCAAAATAACTAATTTTGACAAATTTGAAATAGGTCTTTTTTATCGGAAAATAGTATACTACTGTTATAATAATTTATTTATATAAAAGCATAATTTTTATTCGCAGGACGCCCGCGTGTTAATCCAATTCCTCCATCAGCTCCATCCCCCGCTCCGTCTCCTTCGATCCCTAAATCAAATCTACCCCTGAAGAAGAAGTTACACTATATAGCAAAGCAAATGTTAGACTTCACGTGCCCCGACGGAAGGCAGCCAATGTTGCTCTTCATGGAGAAACCAAGCAAGAAACTTTATCCGGATTATTACAACGTAATAGATAGACCAATCGATATGATAACCATTGAGAGTAATATTAAGGTTAGCATTCCTTTTTTAAAATTTTATTCTTCTGAATTTCTTGCCAGTTATACTCAGCTGAAATTGTATTTATAATTTATATTTGTAGATTCATAAAAAAATACTATTCAAAAATGCTTACATTTAAATTTACTCCATTAAAAAAAAATCTATTTTATTTATTTAATCACTCGATAAAAATGATGATTGTGATTTATAAACATGGCCTATGTGAATAACATAGTATATTTTTCAATACCACGTTTGTAGGTTTAGTGTTGCCGTAGTGTAACTGGCGAAATATTAAGTTATGTACTTCAATAAAGTACTATACTTACAATTGACAAAAAACCCGTCATAAGCATTATTCGTCATTCACAGAACGATAGATACAACTCAGTCGATGAGATGGTATCCGATTTCCGCGTCATGTTCTCCAACTGCCGCCAGTTCAACGAGGAGGGCTCCATGGTATATGATGACGCAAACCTTCTGGAAAGAGTGCTTAATGATAGATTGAAAGATCTGCACAGTGGCATGCAAGAAAAGAAGACAAACATAAAAACCTTTAAACCAGCTAAATCGAAGCAATTGTCACCATTGGAACAAAAACTGAGGACATTGTATGATGCCATCAGAGATTACAGGGATCCAAAAGGTGAGATTTAGTGTTTTAATTTTTTTTTATTTGAACTATTTTCAGCACAGTTGACATTATTTGTCAATGTTGAAATTGTCGTTGGAAATTTCAAATATAGGATCCTATTTTGATCAATCTATGAAGTTATTTATATACTTTTATTATCATACTAAAGCTTTATATTATTTTGTATAGCTTATGAATTCGTTTTCATTTCTACTCAGTTCGTCGATGGATGGCAAACATATCTAACAATGGTTATTTGATTTGAATTATTTTGCTTAATTCTGCAGCCATTAGTGTATGTATGACTGCTAATACTCCAAGATTGACTATTATTATTATTACCAGAATTTCTACAACTTTTTATGTTAGTCATTAATCTCCATTTACTTGACCAAAAAGGGACAGGTTAAAATAAAACTAGTCTAAATCGAAGCTTTAAAACATTGAGAACCACAAGTTTTATCAAATTATTATATATTTCAGCTAACCGCCAATTAGCCCTTATATTCATGAAGCTACCGAACAAAATTGAGTATCCAGACTATTACGAGCTGATAAAAAATCCCATTGACATGGAAAAAATAGCACACAAACTCAAAATGAACACCTATAGTTCTGTTAATGAGCTGGCTTCAGATTTCATACTAATGTTTGATAATGCTTGCAAGTATAACGAACCGGATTCACAGATATATAAAGATGCATTAATACTACAGCGAATGTGTTTACAAACTAAACAGTTACTTAGGTAAGTACCACTTTCCATAAGGTGGGTCGTCAACTTGTTTGCCTTTGTTACATTCCTGTATATATATATGTGTGTATGAGTTTCTTAATATATTTTTACAGGATTGGTAGAAAGAATCATAAGTGATAGACTTCTATCTTCGCTTATGTCTCTCACTTCATTTACTTTCATTCATAAGTGATTTCATATAAACCAGAGGTGTTTTAGAAACTCTTTATTACTCGTCTGCGTATACAGAGCACATATTAACAAATGTTTCTTGACTACAGGGAGGATGAAGATTCTGTTCCTGATGTACCAGCTGCGGTACAAGAGTTACTACTCAACCTGTTCACTACTGTCTACAATCACCAAGATGAGGAGGGCAGGTAATGTTTTTTTTTTATTGTATGGATGTTCTGAGTATTTTTTTTTTATGGGTGAAAATGAAATGCTAACCCTGCCTGCGCTATCGGTATACGCTAGCCGGGCACCAGTGATGTATGATAGCTGAGGATGAAAATAGGGCAGTTAGCCCATCGTAATGAATTCTACAAGAATTAATCATGATGGTTTCCAGGGGGAAACGCGTGAAGGTTGGCCTGATAGGTAGCAATGGGGCAGTTAAAACCCATTAAAACAATCCTTTTCTTCCCGGATGTTCTGAGTTGTGATTCCTGATGTTTATTGCGTGATTCTCTTAACGCAGTATTTCCTAGTTAGTGGACCAGGAAATTGTTGCGATTTGTGGCTTAAAAAAAAAGTGTACCAAGATAGAAAAACAAAACTTCGACATCAAAAATAATCGTCTGAAAAAAAAATGTGATTGTTCATGGTTCCAGGTGTTACTCAGATAGCATGGCAGAACTGCCTGAGCACGATGAGGCGGGCGGAGAACGAGTGCGCGCAATCAGCCTCGACCTCGTAAAGCGCCGCCTCGATCGCGGCCTTTACCGCCGTCTCGATCATTTCCAGCAGGACATGTTCGCCGTTTTCGAAAGGTAAGCACAGACACCTAGTATATACAGGGTCAGTTTATGGGGTGATAATGGAATGATGATACCGCCTGCGCTGTCGCTATACGCTGGTAGCGCAGGCGGGGAAAATGAGTACATATTGTCCCAAAAAGCATAGTGGAAATCTAATAATGTTTTTTTATCTTTCATACAAAATAAAAAAATATATAATTAAAAGAAATAGCTTATTTTTTATTTCAAATTTGTGTTACTAACTTACTAAAATAAGAGTTTCAACACACACAAACATATGAATTTTACACATTTTTATTCTAATAACAAATTATTAAAAAAAAATCTGTATGTCCAGAGCACGTCGCCTCTCTCGTACCGACAGCCAGATATTCGAAGATTCAGTGGAACTGCAATCGTATTTTGTCGAACAAAGGGACCTACTGTGCAAGAACACTCTTCAATCCCCCGCAATGAACTTCACTCGAGATACCCTCACCACTAGTGTGGAACTCGTGAAACAATGCAAACTGTTACAGGAGAACGAGGATGAAGATGAGACCAGGTGAGGCTTCTCGTACCCTTTAGATTAATTTATACTCATAATTTTAAACATTGTTAGACTGTATAAACAAAACATACCGTATGATTCTGGTTAATTGATAACAGTCCATTGCTTGAAATAATCACCTATTACAACTGCGCAAACTGCAAGCATATATACAGTACACAGAGTATATATGCTAGTTCTATAGTTCTTATAGTTGCATATATATTAATTCTAAAACTATATTAACTTAATATGTATGCGTAAATTTACTGGGCACAGAGGAATAACATCTGAGTCCTCAGGAATAGCAACGCATGGGAGGTATCATGGGCGAAACAGTATAGTCTGTTATGTCCATGGTACTGCTCATGTCTACAGGCGACTGTTACCACTTTCCATCAGGTGGACCGTTAGCTTGTTTGCCAATCTAAGTTGTATAAAAAAAAGACATTTGAACAAATAAATTGTGATAAAGCTATGTTCGATTAGGCATGTGAAGTACAGGTTAAATATGTACGATTTGCCATAATGTATCACCACTACTATTTATCGAGAATGTGATGTCAGGAATAGAGTAATATGAAATAATATTTTGACTATTGAAACGATTGTCTGATTAACGTAATAAATGTATTGAATATTGAATTATTTATGATTTTATAGCTCCTAAAGTAATTTTTTTATCTACTTCACAAAAATGCTTTAGTTTTCAAAAGAAGTCTTACCTATGAGAGATATGTACCAATTCATATTTTTTGTGAATATATTTTCTTCTAGATCAAGTACTGAAGAATCAGTACTGGCCGGTAGTACTGCACCATTCCAAACACAATATAAGAAGGGTGATTTCGTTTATGTTCAAGCAGAAAAAGGAATTAAGGATTTGAGCATTGTCCAAGTGGAGAGAGTGAGAGGTGAAATATATTGACGATACAACAAAAATGATGTTCGTTATAGAAACAAAAACTACTAAACGGATTTTAACGGTGTACCAATGATTAACGGTACAATTATTTTTCATACAATGTATATTACAGGTATGTTATTATTTTAAATATTATTAGTATGACACATTACTATAAAATCTGATGGTTGCAGGTTCAATCTCTGCTAAATAGTTCCATAAGTATATCTATATTATATATTTACAAAAAGTATTTATATTAGATATCAATTACTCATAGTAGAAGCTCTGTGTTTTTAACCTCTTATGTGTAAAGTTAGTTATTTTCGCAGGCCGCACGAGACATTTCACGTGCGCACGCGCAAGTTCCTACATCAAGAGGTATTTAAAACGGAAACTCATCGCACCATACCTCTCGAACAAATACTCGGCCATTGTTACGTCATGAACGTCAAGGAATATTTCAAGTTCCGCCCTGAAGGTATTAATTATCTTTTCTGTCTTATTTCTGCCTATCCTAATGGGTGACAGGCGTGACAGATATGAATGTATATATGTATTCTATCTTTATTTAACCCTTAAGTGTAGAAACATGCTCTTGTCTATTTTTTCTAGTTGTTTTGAAAATATGCTAAGCTTATGTTTAGCAATGGATAGTTAACAGGTGATATAATGATTATTTCTTTATAAGAGAGTTCATACCGAAACTCACCGAAGAGTGGTAACACAAAATTTTTAACAAGACTTGCACGATTTTCATTATCCTGTATTGATTTTTTACAATGTACTCTGTTAATGAACTGAAACGTTATTTATAGAACATGTTGCACATGCAAATTACCACTACAAGTTTTGCTTCTAATACATATTTTGCTTTGAAAATTTTCAAATACTTTTTTGTTATTTAGATCCAACATAAATTTATACATCAATACATCTTTATCACAATTTTTTTTATATAATTACCTAACTTTTTTTTTTTAACTAAAAAGCCCGTGTTGAATAAACAAACAAATACTGAATATTATTGAATTATTTTTGAAAATTGACAAATAATTCTGACGTTGCCACACTTCGGTATTAACAGTCTTAAGTTTCTTAAAATAAATTGTTTATGAACAGGTTACTTGGATAAGGATGTGTATGTATGCGAGAGTCGGTACAACACCAAGAATCGCTGGTTCAAAAAGATCAAGGTTTGGGAGGGTGCCGAAAAGGAAGCTACGCTCATACCCAGAGACGTAATCATATATCTATTTTTATTTGCACATCTTATAAATTATTAATAAAATTAACCAATTTATATTAAAGGAGAAATAATTTTACTTTCAACCTTCAAATTTCTGCTCAGCACTTTTGCTGTTATTGTTTTTATATTTTTTTTTTATCCCTTATAATCATTACTAATGATTCGGCCCAGCTTCGAAAATCAGCATTTTCGAAAATAATATATAGCCTATGTTACTCGTTGATATTGTAGCGAAAATAATAAATAGCCAAATGTTATTTATTATATAGATTTCTCTAGATGAAAAATTAAATCAATTGAGTTGTTTTTTAGTTTATCTATTAGAAACAATCAAATGCTTCCCTTTATAATATTAGTACACATTTTCAGTCGATTCTAACAAGCCGGTAGGTAGGTCAAGCAAGTACGTAGGGCGTAATATTAACGGACCAATACAATTTTATTAGGGGATTATTCCAAACCTTACTACAATTCGTATAAAGTACTTATTTAAATCCCCCAGAGAACAAAAAAAAAATTTTTATGCCCATTCTATATATTTCTAATAATAATAATACAATGTTTATATTTTGGATGTAATAATGACGTTATCACATCTTTTTATTTTTTATTTCCTTAACTAACAGAGTTTACCACCGACCAGTATATTTATACTAAATAGCCATTACACTACAAAGCGGTTTGATTTACAATCAACTTATATTCCCATACAGGTGCCGTTGGAGCCTAATAGGACAGTGTCTGTATTCCGTGAACGCGTCGAGAAGCACAAAGATGAGCTCGCTGAACTGGAAGTACTTGAAAATGTTCAGGAGAAGGAGAGACCGGTATTTACAATATATTTACATTTTTTGTTAAAATTGTGCGAAGTAGCGAATGTTCGCAACTTTTGCATCATCATTACATTTCTATTATGAACAATTTGATGGGAATGGATATCGTCATCTATGTATTAGGAATTGTGTTATAAATATCCAAATATTGAACATTGGTGTTAAAATATTTTATTGAAACATTAGATGTTTATTTCGTCTCATTTTACGTAAAGTAAAACGATGTTTGTTCTTTCTTGTACGACGTATTATTTACTACTGCTGCTACTGTACGGTTCTGAGCAGTATGAATAAATATTATCCAATATCCGATATTTAGCTCTATATTTAAAAGTGCACTTTGATGTATCTAATTTCACTACAAACATTTTGTTATGTATAATTTTTTTTTTCTTTTTAATGCTTTCATGTTGTATTCATTTTTTCATGGATTTATTTTGTTCGAAAAGTCATGGTGATACTGAGATTATTATACATGAGGGGTAAAATGTGTGCAACATTACGTAAATCATCATTCTGTGTTTACAATATGATTCGTTTTGTATGCAACTTATATGCAACTCTTGTACAAAAGCAATAAAGTATAATCTAGTATGTGTTCCATCTTAACCTCTTCAAAATTGCAAAAGTACACGTGATGGTTATATTATTGAACTAAAAGAATACTGTCTGCGGGTTATACAAAATAAATCTTATTGCTGTAATTATAAAATGGTTATTTCAACCCTCCAGGACGTGGTGATGTACAACCCGCTGGGAACCGACGACGAGAACACTTACTACGAGCAGTACAACACTGTGTGCTCGGGCGTGATCAAGACCGGTGATTATGTGTATGTGGTAGCTGAGGGTGGTAAGCAGATGATCGCGCAGGTCGACACCATCTGGGAGACTGGCGAGTGAGTATTGTCGTTAACGAAGCACGTTTGAAATTAAAATATAGACTAAGATCTTTGATAATTTGAGATATGAACATTTGCTTCATGTGTTATATTGAGACTTGGATGTTCTGTGACATAGTCATATTAATAACATATATTTTTTTTCCAGTAATAAATGCTATTTCCGCGGTCCATTCCTCATCTTTCCGTCGGAGGTGGCCAATATTATCAACAAGGTATTTAATTTGTTTAAAAATTAGAGCTTTTTTGCGCTATTTAGTTGTGTTTTTAATGTAATTTTTATATTAAATTCTATTTTTTTAGCCATTCTACAAACAAGAAGTGTTGTTGACGACGATGCATGATACAAGCCCACTGGTGGGTATCGTGGGCAAATGTGCTGTTTTAGATTACGATGATTATTTGAAATGTAAGTTATTTTAATGACATTATCTACATTATGAATATGCTTGTTACAGTCACTTTTACGTGTTAGGTACCAAAGTTTAAATACATAAACAATAGTTATATAGATATATAATCCTATTCTTAGCAGATTATTTAAATATATTGTATTTATAATGAAAAATTTTACAAGTACTCATATTTTCACTGTAAAAATAACCGGATTAACTTACGTCTATTTTAGTCAAGAAAGCTAGTATTTCTATTCTCGAAAAAAATACATTATTCTTACAGTTAAAATACGTATAATGTACTTAGTTCCACAGTACTTATTTGTGTTATTGTAAAGTTATCCTCGTATTTGGGTATTATAAAAAGTGTGTGTGCGCAGGTCGTCCGACTGAAATTGCGGAGGGTGACGTGTATGTGTGCGAGTGTGCATACGACGAGTCCTCCCGCGTGGCGCGTAAGCTCAAAGCCGGCTTGCGACGTTTCGAGCACACCAAGGACGTCACAGTCGATGAGGTGCGATTAAGTTTTTTTTTATAGCATACAAAAATAATTAATTGATCCAGGAAACTTTGCATTGCCACATACTGCCACCTGTAGGCTCCAGATTTTCTTATCTGGATAAAAACTATCCTATCTTTATAGTTGGAACAAACGATACACATTTGTAAAATTTTATTGAAATCGGTTGAGCTGTTTCAGTGATTAGTGTGAATGAACATTATGACATGGGATTTTTAAATAAATCTGGAATGTTCAATACTATGATGTTATTATATAGAAGCATTATTTTATAAGTCTATAATTTCACCATTGCCATATCTCATCTTTTCTCTTAAAACCGAAATGCAAGCAAACAGTCACAGCGGCTGGTGGTACTAACATAATAGAGATAGAAAGCCATGCAGATTTCTGTATTTAAATTTAAATAAACTGTAAATGTAAATTGAACTCTCTTTTCTGCACTTAACCTCTCATTTGGCCCGTTATATGAATACGTTTTAAATTTATTTAAATAAATATACGCCATTATTCTTTCACCATGTTTCGTCTCATACTTTTATAATTATGTTCCATCTTGCCATGTATGAATACTGGCAAATAATGGTACTATGAAGCTTACGTAGTAATAATTTTATGTACAAAATCATCTTTTGATATATGATATTCATTGTCACGGAAATTGGCCACAAGTTGTTAAAGATTACTGAAATTATAAAATTAGTTAATTTTTTAAGATTTTTCTGATTATATAAATCAAAATTATTATTTACTAATCCCATTACTGAAATGTTTTTTTAGATTTACTTCTTCCCGAAGCCTTTGGGACCACCGCCGCTAGCCACGGCCCAAGATGTTCAGTCGTCGTCCAGCGTCTTCACACAGAAGCCTTTCAATCCTAATGTAAATGCGGACTCCATGGTAAGAATATATTTTATTCACTTACTAGGTGTTTACCGCAGATTTGACCGCGTCAATTAATCCTGTGTAAAGTTAGGATGTAGCCTATGTGCACACCAAATTTTATTTAGATCCATTCAGCAATTTAAGTGTGATTAAGCAACACCTATACATCTTCCGATTTCAAATTTTGTAATTTTTATTTTTAACATTTTACTTATAAGACATCACTAAGTCATGCTATACAGAAAGTGCTATAATACAAATGAATTGTACGACGATCCTTTAATTTATTAATCTCTCCAAATAGACGACTTTTGACTCCTTAATCTGAAATCTGAGTTTTCGATGATTGATTTATTATTACGTTAGTAGTTAACATAAAATCTGATATCGATATACTTAACAATTTACATAATATTTTAGTAATATAATTTTTAATACTTTATTAGTATAAAAAAAGTTTTTTTTTTTTGGAAAAAAAAGTTAATTCTATTTTATCGGTTTGTTGTTTTTATAGGACGGCAAGCCGCAATTTACGAATCTCATAAACACGACTATCGGCAGTCACGATGTGGAGATGTTACTTGAGAACTCACTAGATGACTCGTCGCTCGCTTCACCCGCTACTCCCCTCTCTATAGGTTTGTATTAAACTACATGTATTAGCAAACATTCTAACAGCTCAACTAATAGAAAACGATTAATATTCTTGGACCATAAGGATACCACTATAACTATTGCTTCATGGACAGGATACTTTATATAAATTTGACTGCTTAGTTGACTCTCTGTTTCATGTTAATTCTTCAACAATCCGCATACGTGCTGTGGTCCACTTGAAAGAAAATTGGTGTAGGGATATGCCCACACACACACACACACATATATATATATATATATATATATATATATATATATATATATATATATATATATATATATATATATATATATATATATATATATATATATATATACTTGGATATTACAGTTAAAACTAGATATTCAAGATTCCTGAATGAGCGAGTTTTAGTGTTGCAAGCATGCATGAGTTGCAGTGACCGCTAATCAAAAGGCGAAATTTACGCGTAATTTTCCAAAAAATAAATTATAAATAAGTTCCTTATGCGTGATAACTCGATTTTTTAATGCAGATATTTAATTATATTAGTATTTATAAAAGATTCAATTGTTTTTTTTTTTTTAATAGGCGGCAATAGCAACCCATATAACCCCACGATGACAGCGACTCCGACCCAAGAGAAGACGACCAGCCAAACGTCCGCTACGCCGGCAACTGGGAAAAAGAAGAAAGAACAAAAACAAAAAATTGTAACTGGCTACATATTGTACTCGAGTGAGGTTCGGAAGGCGATCATTGCAAGCAATCCAGATTCAACATTTGGTAAGATATTGGTTTCTTCTACTTTCTTTTACTTTACGTTTGTACTTTTCCATAATTTTCACACCCTTGCCCAAAGGTGCATCCATACTTTTACCAAAACGTAGCCTTGAAAATATGGCAATAATAAGGTAACCTTATTAAACTCATAAAAGTATCATATAATAATATATATGTTCTCGATTCTATGGCGTCATTGCTCTAATTTGTAAGTTTCACAAAATTACTGATTTATGAGTCATTATAAAATTTATTTATAATAATTTTGCCTATTAGAAATTTAGTTCATATGGTTCCTTTGAATAAGGATTGAAATTTTAATTTTAGATTTATTACAAATAAAGTATTAATAAATAAATTCTCTCTCTCTCTTTCCATCTATGTTAGGTTTGTTGGTCTATTGTGGAAACACTTTTTATAATAAGTACTTTAATAGAAAAAAAATACTTATAATATCTACACCTGTTTAAAAAATTAAAATAAACATTATTTAATTAGGTTTATATAAAAAAAAAACGTCATTTTATTCTATAAATTGGGTAAAAGTTTTGTTATAAGAGGTTTAACCAGAGGGGACAGATAAAAGAAACATTGCTTGGGTCATCTGTCCCATTCGTGTTTCTACCGTGAAGCAGTTGTGTTTGCATGGCTGTGTTTCGGTTTGAAGGGTGGGATATGGCGTGAATTTACTGGGTACAGAGGAATAACACCTGAGTTCTCAAATGGCAAGAATAATATCATACATCTCTGTTCTTTCCATTATTTAATTAGGTTTATATAAACTTTCCATCAGTCATTTTGTTGATTCTAAGTTGTATAAAAAAAAATGTATTATATGCGTCATGTGCTGTCATTGTCCCGCAGGCGAGATATCGCGCATCGTAGGCAACGAGTGGCGCTCCTTGCCCGCCTCCACCAAGCAGAGCTGGGAGGAGCGCGCCGCCCGCTGCAACGAGGAGACCTCCGCGCGCCTCGCCGAAGAGATGCGGGAACTGTCGCAGCACGTACGTCTGCCTATTTATTATTGCTATTTCATCATTCTAGTGTGAACCATAGTAGAACTCAGGTTGTGTATATTAGATTCTTAGATTATATAGATAGAGCATCGAGCCCTCAAAAACGGGTCAACTTTTTGTCAGCTAATTGTCAAGTTAACTGACTCGGTTTTTTTTTTATCAGTGTTATATATACTATAAAATGTATAAAATGTATAAAATGTATTTTGACGTATTATTTAATAAATAAAATGATTATTTTATTTATACACTAAAAAGATGCAGAAATTATAAAACAAAATAAATATAGGAGTTTTAAAGGAATCAATGATAACTAAATAGTCATCTTTTCCATACAATTTTGTATGATAAATATCACGCAAAATTGTATGGAAAAGATGACCCGTTTTTCTCGAAGCATTTTTATGGAGACACTCTTATGTATATACTCTAAAATTAGATTATGATTTTTATGCAACTTAGAATGGCAAACAACTCACCTGATGGAAAGATGTAACCGTCGCCTATAGACATGAACAGTACCTTAGATATAACAGAGAGTTCTGTGTTGCCCATCATATTCGTCACGCGTTGTCATTCCTGAGAACTAAAGTACTTTGTCTCTGTACCTTATAATTTTATTAATATTGATTTATGATTAAACAACCAAAGAGACATTCCCATATACGCACAACGCTTAGAATTGTCCCAAATTAAAATATGATAAATAAGTAATCTCCAAAAAACATGGATGGAATCGAAGTCTTAGTTAGATTTTTACACAATTTATAAAATCATCTTGTTTGACTTGTTAGAAATAAATGCATAATTGGGATGATACACTACTTTCAATGCTTAGTTTCTAGTCGTGCCTGTATATAATGTATAATGTGTGTATATATATTTTTTATTGTACATAAAATTGTATTAAGCTTATCAATTGTACAGACGCCCATGGAAATGACATATGAATGTGCTTGGGACACCTGCGATTATCAGTTCGAAGATTTACAAGACTGCATGGAACATTGTATCGGCGATGGTGGCAACAGTAAATATCTATTTGATATACTATTTATTAATTAGAAGTTTATAAGAATGTTAAAATTTTACCTTGAAAAGAAGTTATTTTATAAATCACTTATTATTTTTTTTTTAGATAAAATTCTTTATAATCAACTTTATAGTTTTTCCTTGAGAGCCTTTGGGCCTCCCTGTGCATTGTGTTGATTGACAACACATGTGTTGTTCATATTTATAGGCGATTGTTACCACTTTCTGTCAAGTGGGGTATCACTATATTTTGCTATTTAAAGTTGCTTAAGAAAACCTATATGTGACATGAAGCACACCCACGTATAATTGTATTATATTTTAAATTTAGCATGACGACTATATTTTATTGTCTTTTATCGCTGCAAGTGATTGGAACATATATTGAAACAAAGAAGCCCAAATTAGAACGTAAGTAAGATATAATAAGAGGGGCATGAGCCATGATAAAATAATAATAGGCGAACTAATTTGTAGAGTTCATCGCTTTAGGCGTATCTGAAAAGTTAAGAATCTACTTAAAACGTAGTGGTGATACAATGATGCGGACATTTGTTCGTAATACAATTATGGTAACTATTATATCATATAATGTGGTAAAGTCTACAAATTACCTCTGACATAAATATGTATATACCGACAAATATTTTGGAGTAACAATTTTTTTATTATAAAACCTATTATGATACGTAATTCCAAATTTTCATCTGTGTGGAACACATAAAACGAGTTCAAATCAAACTCGAACTCTTAAATTAAAATTGATAATTCTTCACATCACAAAATAACAAGAAGTGTCCGAATGACCGAGTTTATACTACCATCACAGCCTTTGTGACTTTAACATCAAGTTTGTATTTTGTTTGTCACTAATATTTTGGGTAGACATTCATAGTCGCTGATTTTGTGATACAATCTGACCGGTGTGTTATTTGTGATTTACATGCGTGGCGGCAGCGGGTCACCTGCAGCAACACTACCGCGGATCTCACAGCGAGTACCCGTGCTTGTGGCGAAATTGCGCGCGAGTCCGCAAGGGACAAGCACCCTTCCCGAACTTGCCACGCCTCTTGCGGCACGTGCGCGATCTACACGTCAACAAGGGCAACGGGCGCACTATGGTCGTGCACGAGCGTTCTAGGTACGTAAACTGACATACCTAGGGGCTTGTTATGAACATTTAAAATCTGACAGTTTTACTAATTAAATTAAATTGCACTGCAAATCGGCATTAAAAACATAGACAAAACAGACCAGTTGGCGATTACGTGACATAAATCCGTCAAGTTTTTAAGCTTGTAATAAACCAGCGAGCGCCTATTGCCAACTTTTAAAGGGGGTCACTTATTCAAAGAAACTATAATTTCCTACATATTTTAATTATTAGCATAGTCCATCAGTTCCTTATGTATTATTAATTCAAAAGAAAACATCAAAACAGTTCTCTACTTGAAATAACATCATTAGATGTTTTTTCAGTTTTTATGAAGAGGGAGTTTGTATTTTCCTATTGTAAATGGACTACATCGTAAAATTGAATAAGATTCAGATAGCACCACAAATTACTAGGCATATTTTCATATAAATGAAGCTAATGAAGTTTTTATTTAAATATTAAAAGGGCGCTAAACTGTTTTTTCTATACAAATATCTGTTTTGGATACGTTGGAAGATTAAAAAATGTTAGTTGAATTTGATTATAGAGCATTTATAACTTATCATTAGTACACAAATACATAAATGAAATGTACTTTATTACATTTGTCAGGAACTTCATCCCATCTACAAAGAAACCTCCGAAGACGTTAACAAGCGGCGTACGAAGCGGTGTTATGTCACCAGGAGGTAAGTGTGACAAATTTAACTGTTCAAATTTGTTATCTATGCTATTGGTATATGCTAGCGAAGTACCAGTGAATGATGATAGGTGAGAACTAAGTTAAGATAGTCCATTCACACGAATTGTCCAAAAACTAACCAGGATGGTTTTCAGGAGGGTCCACGCGGAGTTCGACTACAAGGATTAAAAAGCCCATTTATTATAATTCATAAGTGACGAATTCCACAAGAATTAATCACGATGATTTCTAAAGGAAACTTTGTGGAGGTCGACCAGATAGGGTATATTTTTAGTAATGGGGCTGTTATATTCTATTACTAACAATTCCTTCCGCCATAAGTTTATTTATTTTTTTGGAAAACGTATAGCTGAATGACAATCAAAACATAATAAAATTTATATCTATGTGAAGCCATGAATCGTGTATATATATATATATATTATTGCAAAGTTATTAATTTTGATGATATTAATATATTATAATAAAATAAAAGCAATATAAAGCAAAACAACATTACTAAAATAGTCAATTGGGTACAGTAGAGCGAGACCCAAAGAATGATTTTGCCACTTGCAACTTATTTGCATGCGGTTTTGTGTGGAACAGATCAACATCATGGTCAAACAATAATTTATTAAACTTAATTGGAGCTCTGCAGAAATATGAATTTCGCCTGAAGTTGGTTCTGTACCGCGGTACATTTAAGTTGGGCAGTTAGACGCATTTATGAACCGATCCCTTTTCCCCCAGCGTCGTTGTCGGGCATGTCGCCGATGGCTCGCAACACGCCGTCGCCGGGCGCGGGGCTGACGAGCGGCGGCGCGGCGGGCGGCGGCGCGGACGGCCGCGCCGGCCTCGACCCGCTGTTCGTGGCCGCGCCGCCGCGCGCGCAGCGGGTCACGCACTCCGAAGCCTATATCAGGTTAGTAGAACTTGTCACCCGTGTAGCGCTTATCTATACCTGGCCTTACAATATGACGAATGATAATAAATAACACTAGAGATACTATATAGTATCATCTTGTACTAAATCAAACTATATTGTATATATATGTTACTGTAAAATCCCGTACATTCGTTAATCTTACATTTTACCAGTAAATCTAAGGATTTATCTATGTAAGGATTTTATAAAAACAAGATCATTTACTACAAGAATTACTAATATACGGATTTTTACAGTAACATATGTACATATTATACATTCCATATATATCTAAATAGCATAACGCAGTCATTGCCCAAGTCTATTTCTCTAATTACTTCTAAACTAGGCAACGGATTTTGATACGGATTTCACTGTAATTTAGTACACTATTATTTTTAACAGTAGTTTGTTTCAGATAATAGCCATAGTATGATCATTAGAGATAAGCGAGATCTTTATATTTTTTTCTTTTAAATCAGGTACATTGAAGGTCTTCACTCTGAACAGAAATACATTACTCCCTGGGAGAAGTCCCTTACCCCGATGCCTGCAAATCCTGACCCGGCTCAGTTCAACATGCATAAATTACCCAATTGGATGACAGAGGAAGCGGTCAATGGATATTTGGCACAGGATAAGAGCTTATCAGAAAGTGATATACAGAAGATGGATCAAAACACGAAAATATTGAAAGGACTGTGTGCTTTGAGGGACTTTATGATGAAAGATGCACTCTGTCTCTACAAGAGTTCTTAAGAACTCCTGCATTAGCATAGCATGGGTTTGATACCTCCTTTTTTAAAAAAAGTAAAAAATGATATCTCAAGAACATTAAAAAAAATCTTAATTGAAATAATTAGAATCAAAATCACTGAATATTTTGCATAATTTTATTGTAAATATGCAAGAATAGTCGAGAAGAAAGAAAATAAATCTTAATTGTGCAATGTAACTTTTTACAATCTTATACATTTAATGAATGACATTTTTCATTTTCAACATTTCATTTGATCAGTTGTTAGTGCAAACTGATTTTTGACTATTTTTTTTTTATTGAAAAGATTGATATACAAATTTATATTGATTTACTTAAAAATAAAAAAATTATGACACGAGTGTAGTTTATAATAAATATCAATAGTAATATAAGTAAATTGTATGACAGACATTAATGTCCGCGGTTATTATTTTATCTGAATTGTGTTGAGTAAAAGAAATAAATGTTTAGATTAATTGCAGTTTTCATTTTAATTAAGGTAAATAAAATACCATATAAAAGTAATAAAGCTTATAATATACTTAACTAGTAATAATCACATATAAATAGAATGAATGGCATAAATGTTGAATAGCATGTTGATATATTGAAGAACCCTTAAGCATTTTCAACTTCCTCTTTGATAAGTCTCATTAAATCATTAAATTTCCTGCCCTCGAAGATTAGGACCTGAAAAAATATAAATATACATAAATACAACAAGATATATACAGTGCCATCTAGTTCCAAATGAATGCACTATATGCTATAAACTAAAACATGTAGAAGTGTAAAAGAATATATAATTCTCACCTTTCGACATGGCGTCAGAGCGCCACCCTCGTAATCCCACTGCGAGAGATCAGCCTGTTCAGTCACATCTACCTCAAAACTAGCTAGTGCCTCATCTGCTAGGGGTCTTTCTTCTTGATTAGCATATAAAACTTCTGATGCCTCATCTGTAGACCATAAATTTATATTGTAACATGATATTCGATAGTCGTTAAGTGTGCTGACATCACAGTTTTCTTATAGTGTAGTAACTTGTAAACAGTAGTACAGTGTATAGTAACAGTAGTCAGGTTGGCAATAATAACTTATTAACAATACTATTTATATTTTGAGTTTACATTATTACCACAATAATTTTTATATTATTTAAAAACCTAATACAAACCTCCATTATTGTATGTTTTGCAAATCCACACTAAATATTGGAAAGTATAAGGCATGTTTTTCTTAATAGCCTTGTCAATTTCTGTCTGCAAAGAGGAGAACAGTGGCACACTGATAGCTGCCGGAATGTTCAAGATCCTAAAAAAATTGAAATTACATATTTATTGTTACAAATTAGTTTAAATCAGTTACAGGACTTTAAATAGCTAGAAATTTAATCTAAAAAAATTGGACTTGTAGTTTCCAAGTCATAATATACAGAAGCCAATACATAGAGAATTATGCAATCGATTGTTTTATATTAAATAGTGATTTTATACTTTCATACCTTTCATTTATAACAAATCCTACATGCTGGGAATCATCAGACAATAACTTTTGTACAAGAGCCTTTGTTTTATCATCAGCATTGTCTTCAGCTAGTGTTGTGAGGAGTGATCTTATTTGTTGTATGCAGGGTGCATCCTGGAATAAATTTATTTGAAGTATAGAATTTATTATATGGAGTTGTTTTAATAACAATTTAATTGTAAAAAGAGAGTTAAAAATAACAATTAATTCAATTCTATTGCTTTTTAGGAATGTTATAATTGCTATTATAGGCATAGTCATATGAGCATATTACTAGAATCAAAGCACTATATTCCTAAAATTCCTTTTTGGGGAACATAGGTCTAAAATTGTGTATGTATTATGTAATGAAAGTTTTTGTTGATGAGAATTTAATACATCACTAATCCCAATATTGTATTGATTCCCACCCAAGTGGGGCAGTTGGATGCCATTATGAACCAATCCTTTTTGCCTCCGCGTCGTTATTGGGTATCACTAATTCAAAATTCAAAATTCAAAAATCATTTATTCATGTAGGACATTTTAGCCGCTTATGAACGTCAAATTTTTACATTATAAATATAATCTAAATATTGTATTTATTTTTCTAATCAATAACACAATATATACAACATTGATTAATTTTCTAAATTCTATTGTTAAGTAAGTACATAAATACCATAACTTACTTTTCTTTTTGTTATATTTATGACAGTAGTGATTCCGAAGACACCATCACTTCCATCATCATCGTCATCATCATCATTACCTGGATCGTTGTCCAAACATTGTTTGACTACACTTCCCACATAGTTTTGTGCTAAAAAAGTAATACCATTTTTTATTTCATTAGTATACTGATAAAAATATAATGAATACAAGCAAGCTCCTTATTTGTCTTGTATTAAAAACCAGTCAAGGAAAAAATGTTAAATTGGTGTTGTAATTGTAAATTGTTGTTTTACTTACAAATTATAATTTCTGTTAGTCCTCCTAAGTCAACATTGGACTTGAGGAACAATTGACGCAACAGTTGTTTTATGCCATGGAAGTCACAGTCTTCAGGATTTCGACCCTCAAAGTCAGCTTGGAGTTCCTAAAACATGACATGTCATACATATAATGACATTATTAAATATTTTTCTAGTTATATTAATGAGTGACTTAGGTTTGAATAGATAAATACAGTTTTCCACAGTATTAGATGCAGCTATAATAAATTTAGAAATTCATATTAATCTATACTAATATTATAGAGAAATTTTTTTTTGTATATTTGTTTGTAATGGATAAAGCCAACTTAACCAATTTTAAAGATTCTTTTATCTATACTGATGTCTAAATTATCAGTGAATAACATAGACTATATACAAATTTTTATATACCTGTGCAAAGCCAGATTGGGATGTTAGTTATCAATAAATGTAAATTTTTAGTACTTATATTCATAAAAGTAGTGTTTATTGTATTACCAATGCTTAATCAATGTCCATTATCTATACATATTTTGTTCTTATTTATCTACATTGTAATTGAACTTTATCTGAATATATTTATCCTACAATTGCAAATTAATGATTTCACAATTTTTTGCAACAAGGTGTTTTGTAATAGTTTTAAGATTAGGGAGCAGGCATGTATGGAAATTAAAATATTGACAATATTATAGAAAAAAAATTTTTCACCAAAATTTTTTTAAGGGTAGACATATGGCAATGAAATTACAGGGTACAGAGGCATAAGAATGCATGAGCAACAGTTACTATTAACCATCAGGTAGGTCATTAGCTACCTATATAGTCTACTATTTGTATAATTTGCATAAAAAAAATTGTATCATAAAAATAAAGAACAACAAGATAATATCTTATAATCATTGATAATAATTATTCATGTTTAGAACAATATGATTCAATTATTTAGGGTCGCTAATCGAGAGTTGCAGAAAATTTACCGGTGTAGCGTGTTTACGAAATTTAATGAATCAACATTATAAAATGCAGACTTTTCGAATGCTGCTAAATCATTCGTAACTAATGAATGGACTCTGGAGAAAATTACACCTATTTTTATCGACTATAATTGATATTTTGTTTAGAGCCATGTGTGCTTTTAGGTTAAGTTGGGCTTACTTTGTCACCAATGTAGTTTCCATCAGAATCGAAATCTGAATCTTTCTCGCTACCAGAGTCCTGCTCCTCTTCACTTTCACTATCTTGATTGACGATTTCCTTATTCTTTTTATTAGACATTGTAAGTAAATCGAAAATCGATATCAATACTGAAAAAGACAGTAATTTATTTACGGAGAAAAGAAAAACAAAACATGAACGTGAATGACATTTTTTTTTTTTTTTTTTTTAGTACGTTTGTTCGGTTTGGAACAGGCTAAGGTCGGAGACCATGCTGCCTAGTCTTCAAAAAGATAATTTGTCTGGAATTTTATTTTTCTAATGTCGCTTCAATTATTGTCATAATCTTCAATATTTCATTTGTCAAATCCGGTAAGTACATTTTCATAAATATCTTTTCTTGAGTTTTCTTAAACCAGTGGATTTATCAAATTAAAAATAAATAATTATAAAAAATCATTGTCTTGCAATTCAATAAAAGTATTCTTATAGCTCCTTGAATGTTGTAGTAATATAAGTGAAAATAGCTTTGAAACAAGAAGGAAATCTTAAGAGAAGCGGGATTGAGTGCGGGATATTTTCGGGTTTTTTGAAGATAATCCTAAGTTCGTCAAAAATAATGTGTCTTTGAATGACAAATTCAGAGCAATCAAAAAAAAGGTGATGTAGAGATTGGGCTGTATTTGAGTTACACCATGTGCATGATGGGGAAGCGATCATGCCCATTCGGTGCAGGTGTTCGTTGAAATGTCCGTGGCCGATTCGTAATCTACAAATATTGGTGTAAAATTTTCTGTTTGTGTCCTTTCCTTTGCAGAACCACGGTTTTCCAATACGCCAATTAATTTTGCGGTACCATTTGCCTTTAGTCTGTAATATTTGAGTCCAATGCTCCTCCCATTTAGTTGTAACGATTTTATGTATTCCAATACTACAATCTGAGTAACAAAGGGGTAAATCTTGAACACGAGCAGCACTTGAATTAATAATTTTAGCCAAAGTGTCTACTTGTTCATTCCCAAACACTCCAATATGTGAAGGGGTCCAGATGAAGATAATATCTTTTCCATATATAGTACAGAGATGATAATATTTATTACGAATTTCTTGAATTAAGTAGTTTGATGATGAAATGAATGTGTTATTTTTTAATGCCATAAGAACACTCATACTATCTGTAATTATAATCCATTTCGAATATAGTACCTGTTTTTCTCTGTATTCTAATGCTAAAAATATAGCTTTTGCTTCTGCTGTGTAAATACTAGCCAAAGTTGAAATTTTATAACCGTGACCAAATCTATTTGACAAATCGTAAAAAGCCACTGAAGTGCTAAGTGCATTTTTGGAACCATCTGTATATATCTGCCTGTAGTCAATAAATTCTGATAAAGTCTCATACATATCGTGCTTTTCTTTTATGTCTTTACGTATAACAATTTTGATCTTACAGAACTTACTCTCATAAAGGCCATTATAACAAGGAAGTATCTTACTACTATAGATGTTATATTCATCTCGTAAATTCAAATCATTGACAATAGTTTTATTCAAAAACATAGAAATGGGGCAATTTAATAATTTGAGTATAAGTGGGTTATTGGAAACTGAAAAAACTTTGAAGAGAAATTTGAGTTTTAGGTATTCGAAACGAAGAAGGATAGGAGGCAAATTACATTCTACTTGCATTGAGATAATTGGAGAAGTATACATAGCACCTAAAATAAGTCTTAAATTCATATTTTGAATTTTTTCGAGTTTTTCTACTAATTTATGTTCTGAGGCATAACAAAAGAAAGCGTAATCAAAATTACTTCTAACAAGAGATTTGTAAAGTAAAAGGATAATTTTAGGATCAGCTCCCCAGTTACGACCAATTACAGATCTTATTATATTAGTGGCTCTTAAAGCACGATCTACTAAGCAATCAACGTATAGATCCCATTTTAAATTTTGATGAAAAATTACCCCCAGAAATTTAACGCTACAGTCTGTTGGAAGAGTTTGATTATTATATATAATATTCATTAATGGAACATATTTATGAACTTGATGAAAAACAACTACTTTACTTTTGGTTAAACTAATATCGAGGGAAAGAAGAGAAAAATATTTCTCAAGTCTTTTTAATGACTCATTTAACACTAATTGCATATCAATAATATTGTTTCCTTTTATATAAATTAATAAATCATCGGCAAATTGCAAGTTGTTCACACTGTTTCCTAAAATTGAATTAAGTTTATAGATATATAAAATATATAGTAGCGGGCTTAGAATACCACCTTGACATACTCCTTTAGAGCTTAACCTAGGTCCTATTAATTTACTATTTACTTTAACATACACTTCTCTATTACTAAGAAAATTATAAATCCATTCGATAAGTTTCATTGGAAGAAATGAGGATAAAATCGAAGATAGAACTGTTAAATTTACATTGTTAAAAGCTCCTACGACATCTAAAAAAACAGATAGAACATATTCATCGTTATTCAAAGCAGTACTAAGGTCGACATAGAAGTTCGCTAAACTTTCGCGCGCTGAATATCCACGGCGAAAACCAAATTGATTCGATGGTAATATACTATTACTTTCAATAAAGAACTCTAAACGCTGTTTAATTAATTGTTCGAATAATTTGCCTGCACAGGACGTCAATGTTATAGGTCTATAGGAGTCGAAATTTGTAGGATCTTTACCGGGTTTAATTACTGGAATCAAACAATCCATTTTCCATTCTGGTGGGATAATACAGTCCTTCCATAAATCGTTAAAAATTTGTAAGAGTTTAGTAAGGTTTATTTTATTCAGCAATCGAAACATATTGTATGTTAAGCGATCAAGGCCACTAGCTGTATCTTTTCTAGATTTTACTGCACTGGATATTTCATCAATTGAGAATGGGTCAGTGAGAAATTTTGGGCATGAATTAACAGAATTAAACTGTTTGTCATCAAAAGGTGAGTGTACAAAATCAGGAGTATATTTGCGTAAAAAATCATTGACCCATGATATATCTTTAAAATGATTTTGACGATGTTTTGAATTTAGTTTTCTCATATTTTGCCAAACAGTGGAAATTGGTGTTAATCTATTAAATTTGGAACAAAATTCCTGCCACCCCTGTTGTCTTACTTGCTTAATTACTAACTTTTTAACAGCTTGAACTCTTTTAAAATTTATGTAATTATCGAGAGTTGGATTTTGTTTAAACCTAAGGTAAGCCGCTTTACTATCATTGACAGCTGTCGCACACCTGTTATTCCACCAAGGTACTGCAATATGTTTGTGCCTCTTTGAAGTATTTGCACCGCTATTTGATAAGTTCCTACGTGGAACGGAACGTTCCACAGCTGTCAAAATAATTTTACAGAACCTATTGTAATTGTTTAAGGGTTCATTGACATCATACTCGAAATCCAAAAGTAATTGATTAACAGTTTCAGAATAAAGATCCCAATTAACGAGACGTAGGTTTATACGATTTAACAAAAGTTTATTAACTTCATCTATAGGAGCATGTTGTTCACCTGACGGAGTTGATGAAGAGTTCTTTGTGTTTATTTTAGTAAAAGTCGGCAGGTGATAACTTCCTAACGGATCATCATGAACCGACCACTCGCATTTTAATGATATGGATGGGGATACCATAGTTAAATCAAGGCCATTGGGTCTCCAAATATGAGAGCCAACAGTAGTAACTTGCTTATCATTTAATAGTACCAAATTACATTCATCTAAACAATCAAGAATGTCTTTACCTCTTGTATTAGTGGAGGTACAACCCCACATAGTATGATGTGCATTTAAATCTCCAGATATGATAGTGGGTTTAGGAAGAGACTCCAAAAAGAACTTAAATTTGGCTTTAGTAAAACTAGGTGTACTATTGGTAGGACAGTAAATACTGGCAACTGAATACCAAGAATTATTAACTTCAATACTAATAGCTATAGTTTGCAAAGAATTGTCGAAAAAAGAGTGAAGTTTTTTATATCTAATACTATTATGTATAATAATTGCTACTCCATTGTGGTTATTACCACAATCATTTCGTTCTATACAATAATCTTTAATTTTTAATTTGTAATGTGGTTTTAGCCAAGTTTCTGAGATGAGAGCAATGTGAATATGATGTTCATTTAAAAATTGTGTAAAAATATGTCGATTGCTCAGTAGGCTCTGAGCGTTCCACTGTATGATAGTTAATTGGTCTCGATTGAATTTTGTGAAATAGGTCTATTACCAAAAGTATCATATAACACATTCAAAACACTTTTAGTGTTAATAGATGTGTTCTTTGTGTTATGTAGTGAAATAAGTTTGATTATGCTTTCTATTAAAAGTGATAAACTCTTGTTATCAGAATTTAGAATTGAAATTAGGTCTACATTTTTTTTAGGTTTGTTACCCAGTTTAGGAAATATTTCAGTGCTAAGTATATCTCCAAAAGAAGCAGGTCTGAATTTAGATCTATTTTCAGCAATTTTCTTTTGTTTAACAGGGCATTGCGGTGATACACTTGTGTGATTTCCATTGCAGTGTACACAAATAGCGTTTTCCATTCCAGTTGTACAAGTTTTATAATTATGCTCACCTTTGCAGATGCTGCAACGCTCAGAATTCTTACAGAATTTAGCTAAATGTCCATACCTCAAGCACCGGTAGCATTGTTTAACTGGTGGTATATATGGAGTGACATTGTGGCGCCAACCTCCAATATCCAGATATTCAGGTAATACAGATGCAGCAAAAGTAATTGTCACGGTTAGAGTTGGCTGTAACACATATCCATGAGTCAAGGTATTTTTTCTTAAAATTCTTTTAATAGCAATAATTTTCTTAGAACTCGATATCATAGTATATATTTTTTTATTAGATATATTTGTAGGTACATTTCTAATAACGCCTGTAACTTCTGTTGAAGAAGCAGGAATACTGGCCTTAAAATGGTAGTCATTTAAAAAAGTTTTATTATTTAAAAAAGCATTGGCTAAGTCTGGCTTTTGAAAGTATACTCCGATTTTGAATTTATTTATAGATCTAAGATAAGTTACCCCTTTATTAAATCGTTTTAAACAGGAGGAGAGTGAGAGCAAGTCTCTGGATCCAATGGTTTTCTGACTATCTGAGGATTCTACAAAGACAACAAATTCTGTCCCAGGGGATTCCTCGGGATATCTTCTAATATAATCTGTGACGTAGTAAGGTTTATACTTATCGGCCTTATCAATTTCAGATTCTGAGTCAGTAGAAGTATCTTCCGAATATATATCCTTGTCATTACAAGGTTCATGGTCTACATCACCTGAATCGTCATCTTTTTTTTTCCTTTTTCTACAACTGCGCTTCCCCATGAATGCTAATTATATTACTGTCGCTGAATTTAGTGAAAATATAATATTTTATTCAATAATAAGAATTGATAGAGATAGTTTTAATAAATTAATAAAAAAAATTTAAAAAACCCGCTTGTTCTTATTCGAGTTTCCCGCCTTTTTTTTCCGTGAATGACAGTCAATGACATATGAAGTAATGACGTCTACGCGTCTGTGTCAGTAATAGTTATAGATTAGAGAGACTATAATGTAGTGGTACTAAGATTAAGTACTAAGGTAGTAGTTGTAGTATTAATTTATCTACAAGCTGTGACAATGATACGATCTAAGAACAAGGAAAATCACACTGACGACTTGAAAATCAGGGTTGCTAGATGCAAATTTTGATTTCTATTCAAATGCCAAATTTTTCCGAATCGATACGATTTCCTGAGGTAAAACTTTAAAGTTCTATTCCGGAATCTTTGGTTTTACGCAATCGCAATGTTGTATTGTTTTTTACTACGTTTTGCCATGTGCGAAAATTTTAATCCAATTACTTACAACATAAAAAAATTGCATTTTTTTATTAAATAATCTAATCAGCCAAACGTCAAATTAGCTGATTAAACCGCTAAATCGGTGTTTTTGGATATTCGGGGTAATCTTTGATATTACTGACCCGATTTTGAAATTTCTTTCGTTGTTAAAAAGGTATATTATCCCTGCGTGCTATAAGCTACCTATTTTTTATTTTAGTATTTTTTTTTATACTACAAAAGTCTTTAAGTAAATATAAGTTTTCAATAATGAATCATAATCCCTAAATGTAATTAAAGTTGGCAGAAATTCTATAATATGGCGTGCGCTGTCTAAATTGCTTGAAATAAAGAAATACAATCTATAGCAAAAATATTTATTATAATTAACTTTACAAAAAAGTCCGTGACCATATATCTAAGGTTAATATCTCAACCAAAAAAAGGTTCATATGTTAAAAGTATAAAAAAATTTACAAGATTAGGTTTGCATACTGGTTTGATTTTAAAAATTATTATAAAAATAAATATAGTACGTAGTACATCTTAATAGCTAGATAGGTTAAATGTCCTTTCTTTTATTAAATTACTAGTATTTAAGGTACAATAGATTGAAATACCTATATAATATGTAAATGGTTACAAATGCAATTTATGTTTGAAAATGTTAGGTCCGTGCATTTACTCCATGGCGAATAACTGATATATTGTACAATTGTTATCTATTGTTACTAATTGTAAAATCTACCTAGTACAACCATAATCAATGAGCCACGTAAATGAGTATTTAAACATATCATAGTTTAAAAATTAGTACTTTGGTGGGCGTGTTATACTATATCAATGATATATCTTAAGCCTGCACCTTTTTTGACAGTCGGATAAAAATAGTTTTGTTATATTGGTGTAGATAATGTTAGTACTGTGGTAGTTGGCACAATAAAATGCATAGAGACTCTGTTTATCATAATGGAACAACTACAGATAAATGTAAAACATGTAGCCAATATGCACTAACAGTTATACTGCATAATAACATGTCCATTACCTTGATAAAATTTTATATATTTAGCTCTTTAAGGAGAAAACAGATGCAGTTTTCACACTGTAACTGAGTGGCTAGTGTGATTTGTATAAACATTTGCAACGTACCCCCGATTAGATTTTCTTTGATAATCCGAGTTTTTGAAAGAAACCGCTATGGGCGCAGTTGCAAAATCGATGTAAACCTAGTAGTAGTAACGTAAATTGATACTTTTTTTTTATACAACTTAGAATGGCAAACAAGCTGACGGCCCACCTGATGGAAAGTGGTAACCGTTGCCTATAGACATGAGCAATACCATGGACATAACAGAGTATACTGTTTCGCCCTTGATACCCCCCCCCCCCCCCCCCATGCGTTGCCATACTTGAGGACTCAGATGTTATTCCTCTGTACCCAGTAAATTCACGCCTAATTAGATATTATCTAATAATTTGTTTTCAAACTATGCAATTAAGTTTATAATAAACTATAATATATAGGTAATTCAGAGAAATTTTTTACTATAAATTTTTATAGTAAATAATTTGTTAAAATTATCTCTATGCTTCGATCAGATACTCCGATTGTGGTCAGGAGTAGACGTAGTAATAGTGGAATAGTAGCCTTGTTCTCTTTTCTTATAAACTAAAAAACATGCAACGTGAAAGTCAAAAGTGAATATCCAAATAAGTATTATAGTATTTAAACTGCATGTTTATAAATCCTTAAAATATGTAATAAACATTTATCATTATTAGACTCATGGTATAAAAATAAAATGAAAAAAAGCTTTTGTGCAATGATTAGAAACATTTATTGGATGTATTTTAATATCTAATGTAACGTGGGCAAACTTATACATCTTTAGTAAGTATAATGCACCCCTATATAAGAAGTACAGTTGTGCAGCAACAATAAAGAATTTTAGATAAAAATTTTTAGAGCTTCAAATACATAAAATTCTTTAATATAATACTTAGGTATACACATTATTTCTTATAAATATTAAGTAGCAAAGTGAAGTAGGACCATGCAGTTTTTATGATCTGTAACAAAATAATAATGTCGCTTTTTAAAACAAGCTTTCGTCTATCTTTTTTTTATAACACAGAAGCAATCGAAAATGCGGTTCATCTGATGGAAAGTGGTAACAGTCGCCTGTATAAATGAACAGTGTACTTCATATGTTTCTGTATTCTGTAATTTCATTATCGTAATCCGAACAAAGTCATACAAACAAGGTAAAGATGCGGGGGAAGGGAATTTTTAGTAATGGGGTCTAAGTGCCCCATTGTTAGCAATACACTATATCAGGTCGACTTCCATGCAGTTTTCCTTGGAAACTATCGTGGTGTCATCTAATATATTTTATCACGATGGGCTAACTGACCTGCTTTCATCGTTACCTATCAACCCTCATTGATGCCTCGCCACCGTATACTTTTTTTATGGGTGATAATGGAATGGTAACCCCACTCGCGCTATTGGTGTACACTGGCGGGGCACCAGTGAAGAATGATAGGTGAGGATGAAGCAGGTCAGTTAGCCAATCATGAAGAATTCAAACGCTAGCGTATACTGATAGCGCAGGCGGGGTTACCATTTTATTCTCACCCACAAAAAAAAAGATAAAGATGCTTAGTTGCTGAAATACGAATGGGACAAAAGTGCCCAAGTAGACAACTTATAGATGATGCTTATATAGTTGTACTATTAGCAATAGAATAATATAGTGATATAAATACTTGCCATGGTATAACTTGCTAAAGAAATGACAGAGAATCCGTATGTAGTCACACAAACCGCTTTTTGGGATCTGAAAAATATTAAAGTTATACAATTACCTTTTTATTTTTTGGCCTTTAGAAAATAAACTATGCTTTAAATGTACATTTGTATATATAGTGAATTTTAATAAGTGTTACTCAAAATTAATTAACAATGTGAATAATTAGGTATATCTACTTACATATGATTACACATTTGGTAATTTAGTAAGATGAATTACTATAAATATTAATTTACTAATAAATAAATTCATATTTGAAATACGATATTTTTTATTAATATATATATATATATATATATATATATATATATATATATATATATATATATATATATATATATATATATATATATATATATATATATATATATAACTTATATAAAAGTAAATGATACCAACCTGCGTAACATTATTAGAATAACTTTTCGGATTCTATTGGATGTGGTATACCATCCGCTGCAGTAAAGAGCATGCGATACGCCAATACTCTAAAACATAAATAAAATAAATCAGAACAGCCGAAAAACACTCGATTATATATTTCGACACTTTTTATTTTTCTCTCAAAATCTTATTTGGACTATTACGAACACTTAATAAAATAAATTTCTAGTGTTCAAATCGCCAGATTGGAATTTGCAGCTTTAAAGTTCTAAAAGCAGAAGTACTAAACCAACAGAGATCGATGCACTCAATCAATAAAATAGGTAGGTAAAAGATATAGGCTTAGAATATATAGATAGAGCGTCTTCATACAAAAGCGAGTCAACTTTTTCATACAATTTTACATTATAAATTGAGTATATTTTCTTTATAATTTCTATATTTATTTTGTATTATAATTTTTGCATCTTTTTAATGCGTATTTATGATAAAATAAATGAGTATGTACTCATTTTATTTTATTAAATAATTAAATACAAATACGTCAACATACATTGTGTGTGTAAGTGTATAGAACACTAATAAAAAAATGAGTCATCTAATTTGACAGATAGCTGACTAAAAGCTGATCCGTTTATGAGGCTTGATGATTATATAGATATATCTATATAATCTATGGAGATAGGTTATAGATGATATACTTATGCTAATATTTTTTATTTTTAAGAGATGAGAATGGAGAGGCAGCCCCATTTACTCTATTGGTATACACTGGTATGGTATGAGTGATAGGCGAGAATGAAGTTAGTAGAGATGGGTAATATCTGATATCTATACGTATATTTAGTTCTTTTGGTCATTGATGACCACTCTATGCAATATTATATATCGCGATATGCCCATACCAGTCCGATATCTATACTCATTACGAGCGAGTTTTTCTTTTCGATATTATATATCAAATAATCGACAGTTAATATATCGTTACGTGATTCAGTTAGTACATAAAGTATTCTACATGCTAAATTAACATATAACCTATTCGTGTACGAAATTCCATTCAAATTAGTTCAATAGTTTTTGCGTAAAAGAGTGACAAACATCTATCGTTATAAACTTTCGCATTTATAATATTAATAATATTGGGCAAATGTATGTATAGACATTGTAACTACAATATATAGATACTGCTATATATTACCCACCCGTAGAAGTTAGGTGATCATCATCGTGAAGAAGAATTCACCAGGAATTGATCACGATGCTTTCCAGGATGATTTACCCATTTATTTATTTATTTATTCTTTATTGACCACATTACAAAGAAATGTCTGGTACAAAAGGTACTACTGTTACTTATTATTACAAATGTGAAAATGAGTTTGTTTATTTATTTGTTATTTATAAGTACTTTAACGACTCAGCCAAATTACATGAAATTTAGTACGACAGTATTTGAGATGGATAAGGATAACTATCTTGTCTTTTCTACCAGTCAATCAACATAATATATCGTGGTCACGCCGACGAAGTCCCGGGCAAAAACTAGTTATGAATCTGTATATTCGTAATATATTCGTAAATATCGATTTTAAATACTTACGGATTCCAGGAGTCTATGTCCGTACCAACACAATAGCCAAGTTTGCAGCAAAATAGCACTCAGAAATATTTTATATAAAATTTCCGTAACTTTTTCAATTATCTGTAAATTTAAAAATACATTAACATTAATTATACTGGTTAATTTATCGTAAAAAGCGACTAGGGGAACTTAATAGTCGAGGAATGGGTAGTAGCGTCCTTTTTTTAACATCACCAAAGCCTAACCGCGGTTGTCAACCTGCCTGCTAAGTATGGCAACTACTGGCAAAACCAAAAAATAGGGGGAGGCCTACGTTCAGCAGTGGACAGTTAACGGCTGACATGATGATGATGATGATGATGATGGTGATACTACTTTGTTATATAATATACTTAGTTATATAATATACTTAGTAATATAATAGTATGTATATTAATTGTATAGTCAATACATTAAACTAATTAGCATTATATTTACACAATTAGACATGTTATTTGGGAAAATTGTTTAACTTCGCTAATAGAATACTGTAATATTATATAGAAATACAAACCACACAACAAAAACCACAGAAACACAGTAGAATGGAACTATTGAAGAAATTCACCAATAGTTGAAATCCATTCAAACTTTCCACGTCGCCTGCTAACCTGCAGCAAAACAATTTACGATCACAATTAGGTACGTACCTACTCGTATTATGTTGTTGAAATTGTTAACATTGGTTATATTTAGATCAACAAAACTGATTATTTTGAGATTTGCTGACAATAGCGGAAATAAATTTCCATTATACGTTATCAAGATAACGTATTTGAATCACTTAGAGTTCTTTCACAGTTAAAATTACATATTAATCACGCACATTGTGATGATTATATTACCTATATAAGAATGATACTTAAAATGCCTTAATATTGTCAATGTGGAATATTTATTAAGTATATAAAGTATAAACGCATAGGTTAAAAATTTTAACTTTTGAATTTTTGTAATATGGATAAAAACATAATAGAGCAAATAGTATTTTTGAGTAAAATTATTCGAATATTAATTCCTTTCACATATTCCCACGCAATTATTTTTATACTGTCAAGAACATTTATATTGAAGTTTATCAAAACATGGCAACGTCGGGATTATCTGTCAATTTTCGAAAACAAGTGGATAATTTTTAATATTCAGTAAGTATGTCAAATAAAGCTAGCAAAACTCCTCCTCCTCTTCCACTTGTGTTGATTCTGCTTAACAGTATCATAAGTCGGTATCCGGGCTTGGATATATTGAATTGTAAACTTATTGAGTTTCGCAGAATGACAATAAATTATTTAGAAATAAATAAATTTTATTATGTTGCAGATATTGTGATTACTAAAACAGCGAATTGGGAAACTATCAAGCTCCCTTAGTTGGTAAATATAATGAATAAATAATGAAATAATCATAAAATAACTTGCACATAAATATATCTTCTGAAATTTGTAAATGCATTTTTTGTTACTAAAAATTCACATTTTCAGTGATAACTCAATAAGAGTCTTATTGTTTGACGAACATTTTAATTCACACATTTTAAGTAATCAATCACACTTCGGTAAAGTTTGGTATAAACGCTTCCAAATGTTTTTGTAACATGTATTTTAACAGGTTTCCTTTTCTGCGCCCTCTCTCTTGAATCGCTCACTACGCTTTTGGTCCTTTGTGGCCTCCGTCAACAGTTTGGTTAACCTAATTAATGAAATGTTGCTTCCTGTTTCATCACGATTAAGTGGAAAACTTGGATGAGGTTGATTTTCAACCTCATTCAAGTAAAGTAAAGCAAAGCGTAAATTGAAAGTAACTTAGTCTGACCGCGATTTCTAGCGAATTGTAAATATCAAAACAGAGACTAATTAGCAACTATATAGGAATAAATCGAAATAAAGGTTTAGTAACCGATTTGTTTCAATGTCAACAATAAACAATAATAAAAGATATTTATTATAAGAAATGCGAAATAAGTCAGAAGGAATAACAATCTTATAATGATAAGGATCATCATTAATGACTTCCTGTCATTTTCACATATCTACTTGTAGTCGATGTAGTATATTTTTCTCTTCGACTAATTTTTATTTGCAGTTATATCAGTATTTACTCCCTTTCATGTCATTCTTTCAAACACATCACTTTATGGGTATCTCTCTACTTTTAGAAACACGTTTTACCACCCTGCATGGCTAATGGCTAATAATAAATGTATATGAGTATCTATGAAGGCACGAGTGTCTTCAACGAGTGAAGGTACAGTTGCAGAAAGGGCATAAATGCACTTTCTTATATAGTATATATATATATATATATATATATATATATATATATATATATATTCTTTATAGAATTAAAACATACAGTAACAACAGTATTATATGTATAGTGCTTACCTGATCAAAGCTAGGTGTCTTTGTATAATTTCTAGAATCTCTTTCTGGTATATGACCTCCCACTCCTTGTCATCGTAGCTCTTCATTGTTTGCTTATCATTTCGATTGAAATACTCTAGACTATATACACCTGGAATTTATTATTAAATCAATAGAAAATATATCAACAATCCAAGTTCAACAATAGAAGGTGTAGCAAGTAATTATGAAATTAAGTAACTTATTTAATGATAGGTCGTAGTTTGGAATAATTTATATCTGGCTTGCGACAGGTAGGATTTCAATGAGAGCCTCTATATTGTTTTATTAAATATGAAGGTTAATAAATCCAATTAAATGGTTGAAGTTGAATATTCCATTGTAAAATCTTTCAGAATTGAAATAAAATCAGGAGTTTCAGTAGTGTATTATATATATATATATATATATATATATATATATATATATGTATGTATGTTAATTGTAGTATTAATATTTATTTTTTATTTAATCTATTAATATGCAATTTGGAATGACAATTCAATTTGAAAGGACTTTAAAAAAACAAGGACATCATTTTTTTTATGTAGGTTCGATATCTTCGTCTGTTTTGAATCGATTTTGATTTTTGTTTGCATTTATTTATTTCGTGGCATTATGAAAGATACTGAAAAAGAAGAACGAGATTACTAGTTCGTTTTAATAAAAAAAATGTGTTATGAAAAAATAACTACTTCAGTATTCACAAAATCATTATAGAATAATATTTTTTTAATTATTTTATGTGAATAAAACATATAATTATATAAAATAAATTAAACTATAAACCTTTACGATTACAGAAAAAATCAACGAGTTGAATCAGAATTAACAAAGATATCGATAGAGGATTGCTGTTCATCCGGATGGTAGGGATGAAACATTAGATGGTGGCGGGTTGTGTGATGTTGAAATTCAGCAGCTGGTATTTTTTTTTAATGGGTGATAATGGAATAGTAACCCCACCCGCGCTATTGGTATACACCGGCGAGGCACCAGTGAAGGATGATAGGCGAGGATGAAGCAGGTCAGTTAGCCCATCGTGACGAATTCAATAAGAATTGTTCACGATGGTTTCCAGGGGGAACCACGTGGAGGTCGACCTAATAGGGCATATTGCTAGCAATGGGGCTCAAACTCCATTGCTAACAATCCCTTTCCCCCCAGCAGCTGGTATTAATCCTGACGAGGTATCGAGCCCGGAATCTTATTTACGCAAAACAACATGCGCACTACTGCCTTGTGTAGGTTGAATTATTGAAACGTAAAATGTGATACGTTGTCCTCTAAAGAAAAAGCTTTACCTAAAGGATAAGTTCTTTTAAGTTGATCATCTATAGGCACGTAAAAAAGTTTCCTGATTCTAAGGGACAATAGATCGAACTGAGTGGTAATATGACTTAGAAATATGCAGAATAGCGTGTCCCCACTCACAATTGACAGTACAACGGTGGTTCCTGAAAATTTAAGAACATAGATGGTATACAAAGTTTTTATGATAGAGTTGATTAGCAAATAGATAATAGAAGAGTATGAGTTTCTTCAACAAACCTCTTGCTTTAATTTTAACTTACTATGGCATACGTAAAAAAACATATAAATTAAATCCTAATTTAAAACTTTTCTCTATATAGTTCGTTCGCTACATAAAATTTATTTAATAAAAAAAATCTTTATCATTTTAAGCTATTATTTTCAGCTTTTATCTGCATATATACGTATTATTAGTGACCATATTTATTTTATTAAAATTTTCTACTTACCAAGCCAGGTTTGCAAACACAAAGCGACTTCATATATTATTGGTTGAAAGGGGTCGAAAGGATACCAGAAAAAAAAGGGCATCATCCAAGGAGCTTCGTATCCTGCGAGGCGCTTTACTGCCATATACAAAGGCGGTACCATAAATATAATCATGAGAGAAATGTTGCACCAATAATAAGCTGCGAAGTGTTGACAATATCAAATAATAATAATAAATCTAAAGGTGACACAATAATAAAAATAAATTACAATTATAATAATTGTACTAAATTATGAACATATCGTATCATTCTTTTATTTATCATGATACACTTTATTATAAATTTTTAAGATCTTCGCTTTTAAGAGGCACATTTTTTGAGGTTTACTATATTAGTTGATAGCCGATAGATATTAACCGTGTAGGTTCCGAGATAGAACAGGCTACCCCTTCCTTTCCCGTGAGTGTCGTAAAACGTCACTAAAAGCTAAATTGCGGTTGCCAACCCGCTTGCCAAGCATGGTAACTACTGGCATAACTTCCTCTTATGACTGGGCTATGTTCAGCAATGGGCAGTTAACGGCTGATACAACAACTATTAGTTGATGTTAGTAAAAAACCAGTAGGATAGAATTTGGTTAGTTGGCAAATTGTGATCATAATCACCAGTAATCGTGATAGTTTTACGAAGGACCAAGTGAAGTAACCTGATAGGGTTACAAATACAAGGATAATCATAATCTTAAAAGATGTCCAATCGAAACCACCGAAGATTGTATGTATTTGTAAATGGTAAAAACTTTGTACTCCATGTACATGTAATAATGTAATCGAAATTTTATTAACATAATAAAATTGCAACTAGACTATTATCTATACAAGGGGGATATTTAAGAAAAAAATATATGAAGTCTCTTAATAAGAGCAATAGAAATAGGAAAAAAATAATTTTTAGCAATTTTGCCTTTCTGAATGTTTGTTCCACCATCACTTAAAAACTACCGAATTGAAAGTGGTTTTTCCACTGTTATGTTCCTGAAGGTCTAACGTAAAATCTAGTATATGTTTTGTCTGGCCACGCCATGCAGAAGTGGGATATTCCATTGGTTTACTTACTTCTAAAATTCATGCGAAGTAGCGGGCAAAAAACTAGGTAGTATGAAGATAATTTTTATTTTTTACATGTAAATAATAAGTATAAAGTAATTGTATTTTAGAGCATGGTCTACGTAAGTTAGGGTAGAGATTATCCTATTTATTAGTCTAGACTTTGGTATACTCATACTTTATCATCATTATCATATCAGCCCTTAAGTATCCACTGCTGAACATAAGCCTCCCCGTTGCGAGTTTTGGCAATAGTTGCCACGCTTGATTGCCGGATTGACAACCGCAGTTAGGCTTTGGAAATGTTTAAAGAGTGCCCACTGTTGTACATTCCCCGCCCTTCCTTACTCGCCTCTTACGACACCCACGGGCCTATTCTATACCGAGACTACACGGGTGCCTACACATTATACTTGAAGTAAATCTGCCCGCTATCAAGCGTATAACAAACATCCTATATGTTTTATAAACCTTCATATTAATTACGTACAATATAGCAAGATTTTCATTTCTATTTCTTTTTGCAACTTATAAACAATTTTATGAACATTAAATTCTGAATTTTAGTTTAATTAGGTTAACAAAAGAAATGTAAAAGATACCTTGTGTAACAAACATGAGTTGCTTTTTGGCACGATTTATGATATCATGTTCTTCTTTACTGACAAAACCTTTGGGCCACATTTCTCTCAGTTCCGTCACTAGATTCTTGTATAGGTCTTGTTTCGCCACGTAATAGAAAGATTTTGCCATTGCTGTATAAATAAAAATATATATAACTATCTATTTTCACACTAAGTTTCTAGTAAATAGGCGGAATAAATTGAGTTACATAGGTCTTTATTCCCTCACATATATTTTGCTTTATTAATTTTAATAACTCGTCCGGAGACTTTTGAGTCCATAATCAAATAACAAATGGTTTCCAATCATTATTACATGTTCTAAAAATATTATAATTCGAAATTAAATCAAAATTATTATGAAACCAATCAAATATATATATATATACATATATATATACCATCGTTGTCGGTTCTTCGAGCTATGTGACTAGCTCACTTTGTATATATATACAATGCTACACCTTCCATTTAATTATAATATCCCCACAAAATGTTATGTTTCCAATCATTATTATATGATTTGATTTATCTATAAAAATATTATTATTCGCAAATTTTATCGTTTATTCGCAATGATTAAACACCTGTTAGAGAGGCAAAATTATTATTTAACAAATTGATTACTCAATTATACGATGATGCAATCAATCATATATATATATATATATATATATATATATATATATATATATATATATATATATATATATATATATATATATATATATATATATATATATATATATATATATATATATATAGATCTTTCCTCGCTTCCAACTCCAGACTATTCACCATTTGTTTTTAATCAATTTACAGAGTGTGACGTTAAGAAGAGCATTATTTCTATAACGTCTGATGCAGTAGCGATCATCAGTCGTAAGATGATCATTCCGATTCTTGATGAAATATTGTCTATAATACTTTATCCTAAACCGGGAAAGAAAGAAGTTATCCCCATTCCAAAAAAGAACAATCCTCATTCTTTCTGTGATTTGCGACCTATCTCAATCCTACCATTCCTTTCTAAAGTGGAACGCAAACTCAATTGACAAAATTTTTTACTGAAAACAACCTATTGAACCCTTATCAGTCTGGCTACGACCCCACTAGATAGTCAAGATTACTGATGATATTCGATCGGGTATGGATCCATTCTCACGCTCCTAGATTTTAGCAATGCGTTCAATACCGTTGACTTTGATATCCTGCTAGAAGTCTCTTAACGTATCTCCGGGATTCGTGACTACTTGTTTGGACCTTATAACAGTTTTTCATCTTGGTGCGATACGTTTGCTGGCGTTCCGCAAGGTGTTCAATTCTTATTGACTGGCACATTTACAAATAATGGCTAAGATAATGATGATGAAGGATCTTAAATATATAAATAAAAATAAATCTGACCTAAGTATGCATATTCAACACGCGCATAAATTTTGGTGGCAATGCATCAATATATCCATAGACTCTCCTAGAATCTGTCAGAATTTCTTGTATGCTCATTATTACTATGTTGATGAACTTTTACTTCCAATTCTTGATTATGCCGATACTTGTTATCTATCAGAAGATTTCAAACAAACGAAAATATGATCACCAATAGAAGGTATTCCAATACTCATATTCTTTCACTGCACAATAACTCTTCTTCCCCTCAAATCTGAAGGAAATTCTTGCATACTATATTAGTTTTTTAGATTTTTTCAATTTTTATATTATCAAGAGGTAGTAGAAAATATAAAATGTCTAGTTCAAAACTGAAGAACTAATTTGAAAATCTTCTTAATGTGTTTATATGTCAATCAATGTAAAATTCATATATTTTTATCCATTTGTGTAGCAAGTTTTAAATTTTAGTGTGTACTAATATATGTGTATATATGTATATGTGTATATGTGTGTATGTATATATATATATATGTATATGAGTATGTAGATATAATAATGAGTGTTATTTATATTATTATATGTATCACATCTCCCATATTTAGAACTAACAAAATTTTTCATCGGGTTTATAATTACCATCCAAAGTGTTTTAGTAAGGTCGCCCATTGTTTTCTCATTGTGATTATTTCTTGTAATTATTTATATTTATATATAAGTTTACTATTGTAATCTTTTGGAGGAAACAATAAAGAGTATCTATCTATATATATATATATATATATATATATATATACGAAGTGAGCTAGTCACATAGCTCGAAGAACCGACAACGATGGTAAAGAAAGGTTCTTGAGTGGCGGCTCCGTATGGGCAAACGCAGTGTTGTAGGACGACCCCCACTAGATAGAGTAATGACCTCTAATCCATTGCAGGGAGTCAGTGGATGCAGGTAGTTCAGGACCGTTCCTTATAACAATTTTTGGGGAGGCCTATGTTCAACAGTGGACATATAATGGCTAAGATAATGATGATGAAGTATATAAATAAAACTGACCTAAATATGCATATGCCGCGCATGGCAATGACCTCAATATATCCATAGACTCTCCTAGGGTGGAATTTCTTGCCATTATTACTATGTTGATGAACTGTTGAGCCGCTGCTATCAGAAGATTTCCAAACGAGAACCAATAGAAGGTATTCCAGCATAACCTAAAGAAAAGAACTATATTAGTTTTTTTAGATTTTTACATTATATTATCAGAAGTAGTAGAAAGTCTAGTTCTTAAAAAAACAATCACTGTAAAATTCATTTATCCAATCTGGCAAGTTTTAAATTTTAGTACTAATTGAGGGTTTGCTGTTAAAGGATGTGTTTCCGGGTCCAGTGTATTAGTGTATTAGGCAATTTAATAACTGGCCACAAAGATAACTCGACATAAAACAACATGTCTTTGTAAAACACAGGTTTCTGATGAATTATATTGCATCTGTCCACGGACACGGTCTGTGCCAAGTGTATTTTTTTTTACAACACAGGGGGAAACAAGCATGCAGTTCATCTGAGAGTAAGTGATTACCGCCGCCCATGATCACCCACAACACCAAAGGCATTGCAGGTGTGCTACCGGTCTTTTAAAAAGGAATATGCTCTTTATCATTATTTTTATTTATCATACTTTTTGTTTTTTAGAGTGATCAGAAACTATATCATATTCATTTTCATCGCAGTTGTGTGATATAGTGATATTCATCATAGTTGCCATTGCTGAGGATTCAGGTGTTATTCCTCTGTACCCTGTAAATTTAATGCCATATCCCACCCTTTAAACTGCCATGCAAACAACTGCTTCACGGTAGAAACACGAATGGGCAGAGGTGCTCAAGCAAACGTTTTTAGAAGTGCTAAGGCAAGTTTCCAAATTAGGCCTAAATCTATCTGGAAAGATAATTTTCTATGTAATGACTGAAAAGGTTAATAACTCTGCTATAATAGATGTTTCGACTGTGCTTGTTAACTTTATTGCCTGTTATTAAAGAACGTACACAGATATAAATTACAATACATGAAAAGTAATGAGTATTTTATACTCAATAATATTGTCAATCGATAAACTCAAGAAGTATGTTTTCTCATTTATATTCAGCAAAATTTTCGCGTTCCCGGTTTTATTTTTCAAAATATTTTTTTTTTATGCAAACATGCTAGCGGCCTACCTGATGAAAATCGTCGCCTATAGGCATGAACATATATTTTAAAGCATTAAAATTAGGCGATTGTTAACATTTTTGTACTATTACTTCAAACATTGTAGCAATGTTTATTAAACAGAATTTACAGGTTTCTTCATGTTAAAATTTTACTGATACAACTAACACGCCTAATAAAATTCTTAAACTATTATTTATTCCTTCTCTAATCCATTTGTATACTAACTTAAATTATGCATACGAAAGTGCGGACAGCATAAATCATGTGGTCGATAGTAAATTATTGACGTAGCAGAATGCAATATCACTCGCAATTTGATTTGTATATGATTTGTATGAATAGATCATGAGTTAATATCTAACTACTGGAAAAACAGGATTGTCATTGCAGACTGCTACTAGTGTTACCGTTAATTTGGACTATTTCTGGAGTAAAGCCATAAAAACCGAGTGATTGTAGTGAAGCAGTAGTAGCAACATTTCTTTCTCTCTCTCTCACACACACATACACACTCACACGCACGCACTCGCACACACAGCCACACACAGGCACTCGCAAATGCACACGCACATATACAGACATCGATTGCTACTTTACTTATAATTTTTTTTTTATATATTAATGAAAGTAATGAATGTTCTGCTTTTTTATCGTTTCCAGCACTGTTTTTATCTATGTTCCCTCCTCATTTATTCTCAGCAGGGAAAGCCTTGAATAACACGCAGTAAAAGGTGCAGTAGATATTTACTTTTAATGATTATGGTGACCTCTATTTCATAACAATAGATTCCGAGATTATATCCTATCGTGAAACAGTCTAGGGTGTTTATGCGTCTGAAAACCATTAAGTTAATAAAGACATACTTTTGATATGTGACTGTTATCGCTTGGAAAATGATGCTATTATGACTAATAATCTGTATATCGATTTGATTATTATATATCTGATGAACTATTCTAAAATATGGGCAGATTTTCCTGTATAAACTGTAATCCTTATGAAAATTATACATGGTAAAGTGAGTTTATTTGTTCGTTATAAACGTCTTATCGACTGAAATAATTGTAATGAAAATATATGTGATGGTTTCAACGTAATACTTATTTAAGTTGGAGAAATAATAATATGAAAATAATAAGACTACTTTTTATCGTCGCGGTCATAGTCACAACTTCGATCGCGTAGAGGGGTATATACTAATTAAATAATAAAATAAAACATTTCAGTTTGAACCCTTGATCTAACCTTTTATTATTTACCTTTTAAATTTAGAGTCTTCTTTCATGAAACGCAGCGAGACTATCGCAAGTATACGTTTTGGTACAAGATAGGTGAGGTCATAATCCTCCACATTATAATAAAAGACCTGCAATAAAAGTAGAAAAATAAATAAAACCGTACTAAAAATTTAGTATTCCAACTTTTATGTGCTGTAAATATTTTGTATCGTCAAATGTCCCTTTTAGTTTTACGTAGGTAGTTTAAATTGTTTTACACATGAAACAAGAATATATGCTTATCATTTTTAAAATTAATATGTACTTGTACTATTAACTATAATGGGTTTCGTTTCATGTTATTGTTAATCAGTTTCACGTGGGAGGGTGCCATGTTCTGGTCTCCAATGTTTCTAGTACTTAGCTGCTATTCGTCATTCACGAGACCTGATGGTATGTTACACTGTGGCCCGCATGATGGAACGTGGTAACGGTCGCCCATAGACATGAACGATATCATGGACATAACAGAATATACTGTTTCGCTCATGACACCCTTCATGCGTTACTATTCCTTGAATTGAATGTAGTTTTCACAGCTGTGTTATCGAAGATCTAATTTAAAAAATGATGTACGTTTTAACAGGAGTGGTCTATTGAATTGGATTTCCTACTTCTGAAATTCACGCTATAAAATAGTATGCAAAAAGTTAGTTTTTAAATAAAATGCTTGTTAGAATAAATTTTCTACTCACTTCTTTCTTGTTAGAGTTGCGATTGCCCTTCTTAAAATAGGTTTTCCATCCTGCCATGTTTAGTAGAAAGTTCTAACTCTAATGATTCAATTGTTGTGGTCCTTTTATAAAGTTCCTTTACGCCGACCGTGTGAATTGTCATACGCAATCTGTGAAATTTTTATGTTGTTTTCGAACTTTATTTTTCTTGTTGTTCAACTTTTTGAGTACTTTTCAACGTTTTACCGATTTTTATAAAACAAGGGAGACTCTTAATTTTAAGAATTCCGAAAAATTTACATACTAATATAACGCGTCTATCTGTCAAATATGGCAGGCTCAGGTTTTTATAATTCCCTTATTATGATATAACGGTCATGATATTTTCTAACCGATTCAATGCAATATTTAAAAAAATCTACTCTTCTTATTACTCACATTGTATCATAGTATCACACTGTAATAGCAGTATTAATAGCATATAGTATGAACATTCCCTGTCCCATTGTCGAGGTGACCCCTTTCCTTCCTTCTCTCACAAACGTGGCTAAAATATGATCGTTCAAAAAAAGAACGTTTAGCGTTTTATACTTACATATTTACACATGTACAGACGTCATTTGTTTATGTGGCTGTGACAGCCATAGATCACACAGTTTCTGTATAAAGTGTTCGGTGTACAATTTAATTACCATGTAAATAATACATAAGACAACCCTCAGATAAATTTCGTTTTTAAGTCTATCAATTTCGACTATTCATTTAGTCAATTGTATTCTTTCATACTTATTTTATATCCTTCTGTAATATTACGTAACGGCTGATATTTTAATGGGCATATGGTCTATCTATATATTAATTTTATCTTCATTTTGGATTGAAGCATAAAAGTTGCAGGATACAATAAGTAAGCAAGTGAAACCATGGCTACTATTAGTGTTCTCTATAAATTATTCACTTATAAAATAAAATGTAGTATCTGTAGGCTTATTTGCTAAATAGAAGTTGAAGTTACGAAGTTTTGCTTTTCAAGTTTATGAGTGAAAGGTATTAATAATAAAAAATAACTTGTTTACAATTCCATAGATGTACTTTATTTTGTCCTAGCGACTCGGTTCGACTTCGCACGGGTAATATTATTTACTTAAAATCTGTAACATCATTATAACAAATCTACGTAAGTATTTTTATGTGTGAAATCGTGTAGAATGGTGCAATAAACGTAATGACTTGACACACTTCGGTCAACATTAATGGTGTCCTACTGTACAATTCTGTAGGTAGGTATGCTGTTTACCGTCACGCGGTCAACAATCAAGTACATACGTATATGTATACATTTATATTATCATCATCATATCAGCATTTAACTATCCACTGCTCGTTCGCTCTCGTAGAGCTACACGTGTAGAGCCAGTAACATGAACGAATGAAATTGAAAATGTGACAAAGGATTCGTAAGAATTAGTAGATTTTAATGAAAGAAATAATCCTCTCAGCAGTTAATCTATGAAAATCAAACTGTAAGGAACAGATAATTAATATTTATAGTATTATTAATGTAGTAGTAGTATGTAATGGAGTCTACTGACTACTAATATTATAAATGTGACGGTTTGTAAAGATGTTCAAATGTTTAGAAATTTACTATAAAATTACTTAATAAATTGCAGACCGGATTTGATTGAAATTTGGTAAGTACAACGGGTACTTTATAATACTAATTTATGCGGGAAAAGCCACGGGTTACAGCTAGTAATAAATAAATTCTGACTATATAACAATGTAAATGTGAAATATTGATTATTTGTTTGTTACATCATTAACCCTTAACGACTTGACCAGTTGTCATGAAATTTGGCAGACACGTCGTATTTGGTACCAGCTGTGCCCGCAACTTTGGTCGTGCGTCCGTGATAATAATAGCCTATGACCTTCTCTACGACAAATACTACCTACGTGCAATCCGAATTTCAGTTTGACTGATAGAGACATAACAAATAAACTTTCACTTTCACTTTACATCAGGTGGGCCGTCAGTTTGTTTGCCATTCTAAGTTGTATAAAAAAAACTCACATAAAGATATTGGAATTAGTATGGATTGCGTAGGTGTGAAACCTGTTCTATACCATTCCTGTAGGAATTTCGTGAAATTCCTTTTTAACAGTATATTCCATTTTGGCGCTTACGATGGGTACATATAAGAAATTCTTGTGCAAAATGTCATGTTTCGTAAATTGCATTGCTGTCACTTCCTTAGTTTTCCCATTATATGCCTGTTTATTGGCATTATATCCCTGTACATTTCAAATTTTGATTGCTAGAAAATCCTTTAGTACAAAAGGCAAAAAAAGTTTGCCTTTTGTACCACATTTTATTCGTTAATTAAGTTTTTTTTTTATAACACAGGGAGCAAACGTGCATGTGGCTTACCTGATGGAAAGTGACTACCGCCGCTCATGATCACCCGCAACACCAGAGGCATTAAAGATGTTCTGTCGGCCTTTTAAAAAGAATATGTTCTTTTCTTTTGTCGTCTCGGTTCGGAAATACTGCTTGATTAATTAACTAAGTTGATTCCAAAGAGAGGAAATGGAAGAAAGTGCCTTGAAAAACGCACGGTGAAGGACCGCCACTTATCCAAATGGTTGAGATGGAACTTTAATTTGTAGCGGATTGTATGTAATAATTGTAGAATGATTTGATATCATACTATTTGACTGTCACGATACAATAGACGAGCAAAATTATACAATTGTATGATGCTGTTAAATTTTGGAATCATACTTGATGTTTTAGCGGAAAATTAAAAATGTTTTATATATAATTTTGTTTCCTATTATATTATATCGGAATTGTATGATATATTCCGGTATTTAAGCGTGATTAAATATCAAATATTTAAAACAGGGCTAGTAGTAAAATATCTTGTCGCACTTTCACATTAATTTAGATTTTTTTACATTCACACTCTACGTATAAAATTTATCTAAATTGGAAATCCGAATGACTGGAATTTGACGCATTCGTGACGTGTGATTGATGATGAGTATCCTGACGTTTTCTTTCGTTTTTCGCTTCGTCTTTTTTTCTTCTTCATAACAGGGTCATGTTAATTTAAACTCGAATTTATATATAATATAGATAATACTACACTAGCAACGTTCTAATGACTATTGAACCAAGATTAAAAATGCCCTAAAATTAAATTCATACAGCGATATTTAGTTCCATTCTAAGCTTTTAAAAGTTTAAAATTTTTATGTAATGCTAAAGGAGTTTAATAATAGTAGATAATTAAAAATATTTATGTAAACTTGATAGATCACCAAATTTTGAGGATGGAATCAATAATCAAGAGTTTTATAAAGTAAATACATACTTTTACAATAAAAAGTATCTATTAATCTATAGATAAATAGATACTTTTTATTGTTTCCTCCAAAATATTACAGTAGTAAACTTATTATTAATACAAACAATTATAAGAATTGAAAGCAATAGGCGGCCTTATCACTAAAAGTCATCTCTTCCAGGGAATCTTTGAATGGGGAGGAGTAAATATAAACAGTTTGATAGGAGGCACGATAAAAATTATGTCATTTTAAAATACATGTGAAGATGAAATACATGAAATCAATGCGATAATTACAATAATTTAATCATAAAAATAAAATCCGTACTGATTGTCACACGTTCAGAATTGGTTTTAAATGTAATCATGAAATACAATACCGTAGCTTTCTAACGTGTACAAATCCTTGGAACACTGAAGTAGATACGCAAAATCTGTGTAGAAAGACTAGGAAGCTTCTACGCTTGTCACGTAACTTGATAGGCTATGTTACTATACACACAATAGCCCAAATGAGAGGCGAGACAGATGTCGCCTCGGCAGTGATACTACCTGGCGTATTTATTTTATCCTAATGGCCTGTACAGACGAGGGATATTTTGTCTACGGGCAAAATTTCTCTTCACGATTGTTTTTTCTGACAATGTTGTTATTATCTAATAATGAGGTTACTTTCCGTGTGGTCCCGGTATAGAATAGGCCATTCTTTCCTTTCCTATGGATGTCGTAGGAGACGACTAACGGAAGGTAAGGGAAGGGCAGCAGCATCACTCTTAAAACGTCTCCAAGGCCCAACTGCGGTTGCCAATCCGCCTGTTAAGCGTGGCAACTACTGGAAAATCTCTTCAAGGCCTCACCCTTGGGAAGATTTCCCAGTTATTATGTTCCACAGTGGACAGTTAAAGTCTGATATGATGATGATAACTTTTGTGTATGCGTTATAGAATGCAAATTTATGCATGCGTATTTGGTAATGATGTACTGAATATATTCCGAGGATTGTCATTTGTCGATTTTAGATACCAGATCCTCTAGACAAGATGCAAACGAATCCATCGGTGGAATCGTTATCATAAGATCATGAGTTGGAATGAGACATCGGACGTTGCTATCTCATTCTATTTCATGGTTTCGCTGATTCAATCGATTCGCTTGCCATTTATCTAGAGGGTCTAGTTTCTAAGACCGACGAGTAACAATCCTTCATGGATAGGTATTTAGTACATCATTATCAAATACATAAAAATGCATAAAAAATCTATAACAGATAAACAAAGGAGAAAAAGATAATTGTTAATAGATCTAATAGTCTTATTACTAGATAACAAAAATATATTCCGTCTGGATTACCTATACGCGATTATTCCTGGATACCGTTGTGGTTAATCCTGAATTCGTCACGATGAACAAATGGACCTGGCTTCATCCTCATCTATCATTCCTCTCTGGCATCCTGCCAGCACATGTCGATAACACAAACGGGGTTCCATTCCATATTCATGTTAAAAAAAATGAATACACACATATTGAGCTAATTTACGAATTATTCAGGAAAATGTTTTGTTTAGACAAAATGTCCAACGTTTGCGAAGGCTTTAAAAATGATTTTGTCACAGGTCGTAAAACAAGTGTCACGTCGATAAGATAGTATCAGCGGCAGTTGCCTGTCCAGTAATAGATTTAGGGTAGCTACCTATTGATGATTGTTTTTGTCAATATATTCGGAATGCCAATGACCTTATGCACTTTTTTATCTTAATACTAGCGACCCATCCTGGCTTCGTGCGGTTTTA